ATTGATTATTTGATAAAATAAAATATTCTTGTCACTACTTGTTTTGTACAACGTTTGATGTAGTTTTTAAATACTGAAGTTTTATTTTTTATTTATATACCAATCTTTAAGTAAATTGAATTGAAAAAACTTAAAATTTTACTTCTTTTTGCGTAAAGTGAAAGTGAAGATAATTATGGGACATAGGGAGTATTTTGTATCATATGGGCCTGTTTTATGTACATATTATAAAGTCTAACAAGGTTTTGACATCCAAATGTCCCAAGCATTTTCTTAAACAATGTGGTTTGGTCATATAAATAGGAATGGTGGCAGTAATTGATATTTCCATCATTACACCAACTTGCACTTTCCACACTCTTCTGCAGGTAGTCTGTACAGATGCACTGCTCTCCGCATTGGCAAGCGATCAATCACTCGTTGCACAGAAAATCACTAAACTTCTTCTTCCTTCATATTTTCCACCAAATGTAACACCCGAAGAAGCATGTAAGCGTTGTGTCACACTCATAAAGAGGTCTCCATCTGCGGGATCAAGGTTCTGTGAATTTGCTGTGTCGGCAGGAGCCACCCTCCCTTCTTTAATGGAATTATTGAAAGGGTTGATACGTTTGGTTGTTTCACCTAAAAACCTGGAAAAAGATCAGATTAATGGTATAGTTGTTGGCATCTCGCATCTTTATAACCATCTCGTTAAAGAAGCATCTTTCAAGAATATTCTTAAGAAAGAGTTATCAGGAAGAACACTAAAGATCATGTTTGCTGCAGCAACTACAACCCATGCTAAATCTTCAATTTGCAGTATTATTTCAACAATTCCTCCAGAAGCAGTTGATGGCCTTTACGAAGAATGCTTGGCCTTGATAATAAATTGCATTGGATTGTCTGGTAATGTGGAAAGGAAAGCTGAGGTAAGATATGCACATAGGATGATGTTGTCTTGTGGTTGGTTTGATGAGATGTTGGGGTCTCTATCAACAATTCTGCAAGAAATCGCCCACTATATCAACGACTCGCCTGGACCAGAGGCTTCTTCCACAAGACAGAGGAAAACTAAATCCTCCACCAGAACTACATTAAAATGCAAGCATCCAAACTTGAAAAAGGCATTAAACAAGGACAAATTTAGCTTCACTGAGGCATATGAGATTGCTGAGGGAATAGCCTGGCAAGTAAATGATTTACTGTTGGATGAAGGCACGAGAAAAGCACTGTTAGGATCCAGAATTTTAGAAACCGCGCTTCTTGGTTTGAAGGCTATCTCAGAATTTAGCATTCTGCAGCCTGAGCGGTGTGGTCATATGAATGTCTATCCACTTATAGCTTACACAGCTCTTATTCTGCACTTGTCTGCACAAAATATCGGCATCAATGCAAACAAACATTCTCTAAAAATGAATGGCATTGAATCATCCTCAAACACAGAGGTACATACATAATTCCTCTTTATTTCTGTCTTTTTCAAAGGGAAGTATTAAGTCTTTCACTTATACAATACTTTGTTTTCAAATTTACCAATCATTGCCAGAGTTGCATTTTGCTCACGGATAACAGTCTGTTTAAAAAACCAATAAAAGCAAATAATAGTAAAATGACTAAATTGCTCTCCCATATATATATTTCGTGTCTTTGTTTCTTTTGATTTACAACAACCCAATAAGGTTCCAATGTTCCACAAAGTAGGGTCTGAAGTGGCTAGGTGTAGCTGTTTAGGACTGCAGGCGGACCTTACCCCCTACTTATTAAGGTAGAGACTAGAGAGGTTGTTTGTTACTTCTAACTATGACAAAATTAATGATCACTTTAAAAGTTACTTTTTAATGGATGACATTTAAGAACAGATGGAATAATTAAGGGGGCTACAAATGGAATTCTATGTGAGAGTGAGTGCATGCATAACAAGGGTCACAATTCATAAAGGGTCCTCTTGTCAGTCTTGTGAAAGTGTGCATAGATTTTTTTACTAGGATTCAAACACATGAGCTCATGCACTTTTTTTTTGGGCGGAACATAAATATGTATTGAACCCAGGAGAGAGAATGTACAAGTGTAAGAGGGTCATACCCCAACAAAGCATCATCAAATCTCAAATACAACAGAGCCACAACTCATAAAAAGGCCAAAACATGTAGGTCTCAAAAGTGATACTCCCTCTATCCCACAAAACCTTTCTCCTTTCTTTTTTCATCCGTCCCAAAAAACCTTTCTCACTTCTATTAAAAAGTCGCTTTTACCCCTACTAATTCTTAACTTACTTATCACATCACACTTTCACTATTAATCTATCCATCTTATCCTACTTTACCCATCACATCCAAGAGTATCTTTGGAAAGTCAACACCAAACTACACTCCTCTTAAATCCTTTCAACTTTAAATCCAGAAAGGTTTTGTGGGACGGAGTAGAATACTAGGATGTAGCCTATCCAAAATCTTATACACCATAACTTGAATTTTCATGCAGTCTTTGTTATGTGTTTGTGCATCTTCTGCATGGCAATTTTATGTCTTGTCTGTTTGTTTAGTTTGTGTATATTAACTTCTATATGAAATATCTTTGTGCCTTTTACATGACAGAGAACTTCATTGGACCTGACAATGGACCATCTTCTAGACTGCACAAACAAATTATTCAAAGAAAAGAGGCAGGTGATGTTCTTTTTAGGTAATGTGAAGATTCTAACAGCAGTACTAAAGTTCATAGTTGATGGCACCACTATGAAACTTCACCATAGTCTTCCAGAAGCATGTCTGAAGTTCACTCTCGAATATGTACAACTTATCAACTTCTATTTAGGAAAATATTCCACTGACGAGCTTCAGTTAACAGAAGAAGGCCTGAAGGAGACATTACTCTGTCTCAAAAGTTCCTTCACATATGCAGCCAAGTTACTCAATCTGGTACTTAAGGATTTCTTTGATGCTTCAACACCACAACCGGTCGCTTACCATCTTGCTAATGAATTGCTTAGCCTCACAGTTTCCATTGAAAAACATGTGGGCCATAGCCACGCAACCCGTCTATTGTCTGCTGCTCGCCCTTGGGTACCTGATTTAATTCTGGCCTTTGGATCCTTTCACTTAATGAATCAGACTGCAGAAGATAGTGCAAGTGTTTTTCCTTCCTGGCTCTCCATTTTAGCCAAGATAGAACTTTTTGATCTACAAGAAAGTAGTTCAGAAGAACAAACCGAAACATTTTGTAAAAAACTGGGCTTCTTTGCATTCAAAAGTTTAGTGGGTTTGATGGTTCAGAGGTTAAGCGCTAACAACGATGTATTGGATGCGTTTGGAACAACTATCTTAAATATTTTGCTAGTTCACTTGGAAAGTCGGGGCTTTGGTGTGCTGTTAGGGTTGCTGCACTTTGTTCGTGTGAAGTTGGTAAAAAATGATGAGCAACAGTGGAATGATCTTAAGATGATGTCAGTAACTATCCAGCAAATCTACTGTCAGCTGGAGTTACTGGCTGAAAATTCAAGTTACGGCGAGAGTGAGTTCCAAGAGTTGCAGAGTGCAAAAGCATTGATTGAACCTGTTTTGTACCATTCACAAGATTCTCAAAGAAGCCCATTTGAAGAATGATGTGTTTTTATTGCACGTAAGTTTAAAGCAAAACCTCCTTGCCAAGTTGATTGTTTTGCATGTTTTTACACTGTACAATGTTTCTAGACAACTACGTAGTATTTATGATGTATTTATGATGTTTATTGATTTTCAGTTAACTCTATTCGAATCAGTTGAAATAAATGTACTAATGTTTTTATGATGCTTGTTGATTTTAAGTTAACTCTATTCGAATCAGTTGAAATAAATCTATTGCAATTTTCTTCCTGGTAAAAATGGTTGAGAGAAATTGGCATCTTTTTAATCTATGCAGATATGCTCATAGTTAACGGCTAAATTTAAAAAAAAAAACCAGTTCAGTTCGAATTTTGGCAAATTCAACACATTCAAGCATTGCTGAATGTATTCAACATTCTGAACTGAGGAATCATGTTCCAAACTGAATCACCAAACTAGCAATGATGATAATTCAACAATTGGAGTTTTGGCTTTATAGCAAATAAATTTCATAATAACCAACCAGTCCTAAACTAAGAGAAGTAACAGGTTTGAAGCAATTTTAGCTTAACTGCTTAATATTCAAGCCTCAAGTCAATTGGAAAGAAAAACTACTACAGTACTATGGAAGCCTACAAACTAAAGTAGAAATTCTTGGCTCTCAACAAAACTACATTGGAAGCCATATTGGAACTACTGAAAAAAGAAGTGGGATCTCAAAGTCATGCCAAATATGCATCCACAGTTGATTTTTTTCAGGGTAAAAATTTTGGAGCGCTTTGTAACTGCTAAATGCATCTCCCACCAAGATTAGATATTCTGCACAGGACACTCCCAGGGAACTTCATACTGGAATCTTCTTCAGGTACACTGCAATTGGCATGCTCAAGAAACCAAAGAATACACTAAGGAACCACTGGCAGAAGCTGAGGGGTGTTGTGTTGGCAAATGTCCCTAAATATTCAATGATTATAATTTGGAAGAGGACTGTGACGCTGATGACCGCCACAAACACATAATTGTTCAGTATGCCTTCAAGCACATCTATTTTCTCCATCTCTCTCGAGTTCACCTCATTGAAGAGCTGCAAACACAAAGTGATAATAACATTACGGCATAAATGTTGTTGTAAATTATCTCCACCTAGACACTATGCCCTTCTTGAGCATCCAAGAGTTTCTTTAGATGGAGGGTTTTGGAGGGGTTACTCTATTAACCAAATATAAAGATTGTTGTTTATGTAAAGATTTGTTGCTAGATCAGTTTTGGTTTGGCAGTTGTTTTTGGTCATCACTAATAACTATGAACCGAATATAATCAAAATCATTAAGGTACACGAACGGCACCTGACAGAAGACAAATGAGTTGAAAATGAGAGTGTTGAGAGTCAAGTCAGCATTGGGGCCATCAAGACGGAATATGCATTTTCCACAAGCCTGAAGAAACCAGATGACTATGAACTGATACAAAGATTGACCCAAGATATTCCTCCACATTATATTTGTGATGAAATTTCCAGTCCTTCCAACTGGTGCTCTCTTCATCAGCTCATCAGTAGGGGGTTCAGTTGCAAGGGCAAGTGCTCCCAATGTATCCATTATCATATTCACCCACAGAAGTTGCACGGCAGTCAAGGGAGCACTACCTGCATGCAGTTGAATTGATTCACGGTAGGATATTTATAGTAAAAGTGTTTGGTAAAAGCTACCAAACGGATACTAGAGGATATGGGTATTACCAGTTAAACAAGCTGAGGAGAAGTTGACAATCAAAGCAACCACATTAACAGTCAATTGGAACTGGACAAATTTCTGAATGTTTATGTATACAGAGCGTCCCCATTTAGCTACTGTCACGATTGTTGAGAAATTGTCGTCTAGAATAATGACATCGGCACTCTCTTTGGCAACCTGGGATGATCAGTAGTTAAAAGATAGTAAGAGATTCAGCCATTCAAACCAACTTTTGTCTAAGCATGACTAAACAATACCAGGATATACTAAGAGATGAACTCATTTCTTGTTTGTTTTTTTCGTACCTCAGTCCCAGCAATGCCCATTGCAAGCCCAATATCAGCTTCATGAAGTGCAGGAGCATCATTGGTTCCATCACCAGTTACTGCCACAACTTCTTGAAATGTTGTTCTCAATTGCTTTACCAATGTGTGCTTGTCGAGTGGCGAAGATCGAGCCATCACCTGGCAAATCAAGAACCAAAATTTATTTGCTGAAATATATATTTTTCTTTTAAAAAACAACATTATTGACTTATTAAAAATATAAAGGACCTGAATTTTAGGAATTATCTTGTGCATTTCCTCAGGGCTCATCTCCCTAAAAACGGGACCTTCTATGGCAATGCCATCATCAGTTAAAATTCCACATTCCCTGGCTATAGCTTTTGCAGTATTGATGTTATCCCCAGTAACCATCCTAACAGTTACACCAGCCGAATGACACAGAGCAACTGACTCCCTGACTCCTGGCCGAACCGGATCCTTAATTCCTACAATTCCAACACATGTATACCCAGACAGTGGGATATCATCATTAGGGGAGAATCCATTTTCCAAATCAAGATATGCAAGGCATAACGTTCTAAGGGCTTCATTGGCAAACTGATTTATAGTGGCATTCAAGTGTTTACACATCTCTTCATCCAGTGGAACAACCGAACCATCAGAATTGATCACTTTGTCACAGGCAGCCAAAATAATCTCTGAAGCACCCTTAGTATGGGCACGCAAACCCCCTTCTCCAGGAAGTTCTAATACCACACTCATTCTTTTCTTGGTAGAGTTAAAAGGTTCCACCTTTACAAGTTTGGAAGCCTTTCTTTCTGCCTGGAAATCCCCACCAAGATCCAACCCAAACTTAAGTATGGCAGTCTCAGTCGGCGTTCCCAACATTTCACGTTTCCCAGTTTTGGAAGCCACCACTTCGCCTCCGGTGTTGTTGAATATGGACTGGAGAAGTGTTTTGAGCACATTGTCTGGGAGCTGAGTTCGCAATTCGGTTGCAGCACTTGGAGTAGTTAAGTCCTTAACATTCATGCATATGCAAGTCTTCACAACCGTCATTCGGTTGGTGGTCAGGGTGCCTGTTTTGTCACTGCAGATTGTCGTGGCGGACCCCATTGTCTCGCACGCAGCCAAGTTCCGCACAAGCGCCTTGTCATTCATCATCTGTTTCATGGCGAAAGCCAGGCTTAGTGTGACTGCCAAAGGTAGTCCCTCAGGAACAGCAACCACCACTATGGTGACAGCCACTGCAAAGTATTCGAGCAGTTCCAGCGCGTCTTCACCGCCCCAGCTCCAGTGGGTCCCGTCGTGGAGCTTTCGGACGTACATTTTCTGTATCAACACTGAAAACGTCACCACAGCGAAAAAAAGACCAATCTTTCCTATGATCGTGGCCACCCCATTCAGTTTGACCTGCAACGGAGTCTCATCGTCTCCCCCTTCGCTGAGGGTTGCCATGAGCTTTCCCCATTGTGTCCTCATCCCAACCGTGGTGACCAACATCTTGCATGATCCGTCCTGGACTTTGGTCCCAGACAAGAGGAAGGGGTTTTCAGCACTGACCATGACCGGCTCGCTCTCACCTGTCAAGCTTGACTCGTCGATTGACACGGAGAAGCCAGAGAGGAACAGCCCATCTGCAGGGACTTGATCACCAATAGCCAGATGGACAATGTCACCGGGAACGAGTTCGTATATTGACATCTTCTGTCTATATCCATCCCTAGTGACCTGAATGGATATCTTCTTCTTTTCCTTGTCCAAGTCCCTGAACTGCAAAGACTGGCGGTAGTCACTGGTTGCAGTGACAAACACGACCAACAAGATACTGGCGACAATTCCGAGCCCGTCGTGGGCCCCTTTGGGCCATCCCTCAGTTGCTAACCCAACAATTAGGGAAACAAGTGCACACACTCCCAGGATCATGAGAGTCATGTCCTGAAGGGCTTCCCATACGAAAACCCAAAAGCTCTTTGGTTCATTTTCTTGGAACTTGTTGATCCCAAAAAGCTCTTGTCTGTGGTTAAGGGCTTCCTGGTCTGCAGTGAGGCCATTGTCAACAGAGGTCCTGAGCTTTCCAGCAATACCCTCCACCCCACCATGGAATTTCAGTTTCTTCAGATCATGCCCTTCCACCACAGATCCCAATTCTTCTGCACAAATTTGATATCCTGCTGCCTCAGCCTCCTTGGGTACAACGTAATCACTCGGTTTCACCCCTGCAATCAGATATTTTTTCAAGAAAGAGAAAAAAAAATCAAATCTTGGGCAGCTCAAATGACCACAAATCGTCTCAATTACCAAAACAAGATAAGGAACAGATAGATCACCCTGTATGAACTGAAACGCAGCCTTGGAAACAAGAACAGCAATCCTCAATTTCTCCTATAACAACACACAAACAAAACAAGAAAACACCGTTCGGGAAAATGGGATCAAAACAGAGAATGGAAACATAATAAAAGAACATAAATTTCTCCCTTTTTTCAAAAAAAAAAAAACATTCCCATGAGATTCGGTCAAAACGGGGAAAAGAGGGGAGAGAGGAAGCTACCTGATTCGTACGGCGCATGGCAGCAGCCTCATAGCGCTTGGAGAGGTTGGCGGTGAAGCGGAAGCGCCGCTTTGGGTTCTTCACGACGCCGCAGAGGCTCCGCCACCGCTGCAGCGCCTCGTCCGACGAGTTCTTGGCCTTCACACCCCCGAAATTCTCATTCAAATAGCTCTCCATCTTCTCCTCCTACCCCAAATTCAGCCTTGCAATGTCAACTTTTCTTGCAACACATACATATAAAAAAATCTCTTTTTTTTCTTCTCTGGGAAATTGATCCTCCTCCAATGCGAAGGAGAGAAAGTCTTTAAAAAAGAGACATTCCCTTCGTCGTCAGATCGTGCGAAGTTTCGCGGTGATTTCCCAGAAGGAAAGCCGCGTGAGGAGCAATTAGTACGAATGAGGAAACGATGAAGAAGAAGGGAAAAAAGAATAAAAGATTGTGGATAATGAATGCGGGAGGGAGGGAGGGAGAGGAGGATCCGGAATTTGGGTGCAAACAGTGTGAGATTGCATGTTCTTCGACAGTTTCTGATCTAATGTATTGACCTGGTTTCTTGGTCGAACTAACGTTGAACGAAATGGTCGGGGGCCGAATAATAACGTTAACGTTACACCGTGTGTGTCCTGTTTGCTCGGACGTTTTTTTCCTCAACAAAATCAGGTTAAAAGTTTCTATGCACCACAAAGATTTACTTTTACTCATGGTTAGCATGTTTACAAAGGAAACAAAAGGTTAGCATGTGACAAAGACTTTTTTTAAGTTTTTAACTTTTTAAGGAAAAGATAAATTATCAACGAACTAAAAATGTATGTGTTGTTTTGATGAGGGATTAAAATAGAAAGAAAATGAGAAAAGAAGAAAATGAACTAATGAAGAGAAGGGAAAATTGAGAAAAAATGGAGAAAAGTTTGTTGATGTTTGGATATGTAAAAAATTGAAGAGAACAAAAGGTGGAAAAAGGAAAATAAGAGAAGAAAGAAATGGATGAATCTCTCTAATTGGTTTCTTCTTTCTCCCTCACTTTTTAAGTTTTTTTAGGAGAATACAAATTAAGGTAGGATTCCGTTGACACTGAATCAAGTGTAAACAGATGACACTCGCTCATCTTGAGACACTTTTAATACTCTATTTGCAAAATTGATGGTTCTTATCCTCTCAACTACCACCCTAAACTCCATACCTCTGCCCCATAAGCCCCCTCTAAATGTGTGGCTATTATGAGAATCATCAATTTTATAAATGAAGTACCGAAAGTGTCCCAAAATGACAGTGACACGGAGTGTTACCGTACTCTTGTGTCACTGGAACCTCACCGTACAAATTATCAATGAACCAAAACATGTACATGTTGTTTTAATGAGGGATTAAATAGAGAACAAATGGAGAAAAATTAATTGGAGGTGCAAAAATTGAAGACATACAAAGGTGGAAAAAAGAAAAAAAGAGAAGAAAAAAAGGATGAAGCTCCATTATTGGTTAGTTCTTCTCATTCACATTTTTTTTACTTCCCTCTTTTTTTTCTTCTATATCCAACCAAGAGAAAACTTCTCGCAAATTATATTTTCTCTTAATCACATTTTTTTCATTTCTCTTTTTCCACCCATCCAAACATATGCTTACACTAAGTATAAGACCATGCCGACCATATAGAGAGGATGTTTGTGAGTGCGCTGAGCCTTGAAAAAGAACATGTGCTAAAATCAAAAGTAGAAAGTAGTTACTCTCATGAGCTTTGGTGAAAATCACTTCTAGAGCACAATTTATACCTCTAAAATCACAATTTATAATATAAAGCTAATTGAAAAACACTTAAAATTACGGAGTATGTTTCAATGAAGTAGAAGCTCAAAAGCTATTTTCAAACACGCTCCCTCACGCTCTCATAGAATGATGTGCTAATAAAGCACTTTTTGCTATAGTATGCCACGCACAAAGGTTTTATTTAAAAATAATGTTTTTAATTTGTATTTTCAAATTGTTAAAATTAAACATTGATATTAGATAATATTTTAAGGATAATTGTAATAGACTAATAGTACATATTAATTTTTTAAACACTAAAACTAAACATTATCAATATATGAAGTGAAATTTGCAATGAATATGACTAAAATATAAGTCATTTTTTAATATAGGACTTAAACTTTTTTATTCCCTAAATAAGAATAAATAATGACTAGTGAGAAGAAAAATGTTCAAGTAATGCTGGACATTTAGTTGAATAATGACTAATAGATAATAATCAATGGTCATACATTGGGAAATAAAAACATATGCTCATATTTTGTGATTATTATTATTATTATTATTATTATTATTATTATTATTATTATTATTATTATTATTATTATTATTATTATTATTATTATTATTATTATTATTATTATTATTATTATTATTATTCTATGAGGCATGCTAAAGTCCACCACACTTGATACTATTAATGACACGTGTATGTGAATATATATTTGGTACACAAGATAGCAATAAAATTGAGAATTCCAATTCCAATTCTTCTATATATTTACTAGCACAAAAATATCTGAATTTGAAATTGAATTATAATTCCAAATATTCAATTTCACAATTTTAATTCCATAACACAACCAAAAGATTTTGAAATTCAAAATTTAATGCAAGAGTTACACTAATATTACTTGTATTCTTTCTAGATTAACAAATTAATGAATTTTGTAGATTTTTGATATATCGAGAAAATAACTTTTCAGCTAGTTTTTGACTTTTATGACACACTTTGACTTCTTTGACTAATCAAAAAGGTTAAATTAAAAATTACAAATTAAAAATTAAAAAGTTAAAAAATATTAATTTAAATATAAATTAAAAATCTATATTTTAAAGTAAAAAACTAAAAAAATATTTTAATATAAAAATTAAAAGTTCAATATCAATTAACAGAAATTAAAAACTAAAAATTAAAAATTAAAATAATTAAACATTAAAAATTCTAAATTAAAATATTAAAATAAAAAATTAAAAATTAAAAATTAAAAATTAAGAATTAAAATTTAAAAATTTAAAAGAAAACTAAAAATTTAAAAACGAAAAACTAAAAATAATTTAGAATTTGAAATTTAATATTTAAAATGTAAAATTTAAAATTTAAAATTTGATATTAATAAATTAAAAATCAGAAACTAAAAAAATATGAAAACTAAAAAATCAAAATATAAAACTAAAACATGAATATTGAAAATTTTAAGTTTGAAATTTTGAATTCAAAAAACTCAAAATTAAAAATTAATAGTTTTGTTTTTAAAATTAAGAAATAAAAAATTAAGGAGTAGATAAAATACTATGGAGGTGAAATGAAAAAATCAAAATATAAAGTTATATATTTAAACTAACAATATAAAATTTTAAAATTAAAATGTAATATAAAAATTTGAAATAAAAATTTATTAGTTTCAATTTCAAAACTAGAAATAAAAAATTAAAAATAAAACTCAAAAATATAAAACAAAGAAAATAAAATATGAAATTTGATTTTAAATTTAAAATTAGAAACAAATAATTAAAAATCAAAGATTTAAAATCTCAAATTCCAAAAAAAAATAAAATTAATATAAAAATACAATTTAAAATTTAATATTTAATATTTAAAATTAACAATTTAAAACTTAAAATTTAAAACTAAAAATTTAAAATGCAGCGAACACATCAGTTATTGGAATCAGTTGAGTAGCTGACACAGGGCCGGCCCTGAAAAATGAAAAAATAAAATTAGATTGGTCCTAAATTTACATTTTGGGCCCTACTTTATTTTTAGAATATTTTTTCTTTAAAATTATTAACAAGTTTAAAGATATGGAGCCTTAAAATTTTAGGGACCTTGTGCGGTTGGCCATTTTGCACATCTTTTGGGCCAACCATGAGCTGACACAAACAACTAACTATATATATGATTTTGTGTTTTCAAACAAAAAATTTTGTAATTATAATATAATTTTAAATTAATTTGTTAACTATATGAAGCAGAGGATTTGAAATTAAATTATACTCGGGAGTACTCCGTATGTTTTGTTAAATTAAATGTAGAATTCTTGTGTAAAAAATGTATTTTTTTGAGAAAAATTGTCTCAAATAATCTCATTTTCACGCTTTTTAAAAAATAATTTATATTTCACTGTCACAGGAAATAATCCCACCTTTTTGCATGTGTGCGAGTTTTGGGTCGCTGTTAAAAAGCTAATAGCCACTTAACAGAATTTTTGGAAAATGTCTGCTTTTTTTGCAAATAAATAAAAGGTGAGGTTATTTTATGTAAGTTCTTTTTTTTATTTTTTAATTTCAAATAGTAAGTTTAAATGAATTTCTAATAATGTTTTTATAAATAATAATCCACTAAATTTAATCATTATTTTAAGAGTGAAACTAATTATTTTTTCAATAATTGATAGTCTGGTAATAATTGAATAATAAATTATTCTACACAATGGAGCTAATTTATTTTTTTCATAACTCACTATATTATTCTATAGGTTGTAATTATTTTCTTGAGTGACACTTCAGATTGTTTTTTGATACGGTACTATTATTATTTTTTAAAAAATGCTACAAAGCTTATGAATATTTTAAAATAAATCTATATAATTATTTTTTTCACAAAATATTATTACAACAGTAGTGAAAATAACACCATAATGTTTTATTTGAAATAGATCTTTTTTATAACTTACTATACTTTTTGTTGTATTGCAATTTTTTAATGAACAACACTTCGGTATGTTTATTGATAATTATCTATTACCCGTATTATTTTTCTAAAATGGAACTACCCAACTTGTGTTTTTTCGATAATTTAGTACAAATGTTTTCCCCAAAATAATAATTCAAAAATTGTGAAAATGGCACAATATTTTTTTATCTAAAGCGGCACTAAATAATTTTATAACTCACTGGAATTTCTTTGCTTTGCAATTTCATTCTCTAGCGATACTCGTCATTATTTTTCGATAATCTAATATTATATTTCTACCGGAACATAAAACAAAATTTGTAAAGTGTTATATTTTTTAAAAAAACTGAAGACAAATATCTAACAAAAGTTTTTTTTTATATTTTTAAAAACATAAATTTGAAAATTTAAAAATAAAAAAAGTAAATTTGCTCAAAATAATCTCACATTTCATTTATTTGTAAAAATAACATTTTTAAAAAATTTTGGTAAGTGACAGTTAGTTTTTTAACGGAGTCCAAAATTTGCGCACATGCGAAAAAGTAAAAATATTTACAGTGACATAGAAAAGTGAGATGATTTTTAAAAAAATGTGAAAATTTAAGATTATGTAAGATAATGTACCTATTTTGTTGAGAAAAATTACTATGCAAATTTTGCATCGTTCATGTTGTGTGTTCGACAGACACGATAACATCTTGGCTAAGGTTGGCTTTGGGACACATTTTTGTGTGTTTCAAGTTGTTCGTCTTCTCTGTTGGGCGAAATTTCAGTAACCAAACTACAAGGCGGCGCACATGCTAGATGATATTCAGAAATATGTTGGTTTCCATCAGAAGCAAACCGTTTCTTCAATCACCGCTTTCGCCGGATTTCTACTCTCTGTTGTCAAATTCAGGAAAGCGTGTAGCCGGGAGGGTACCGGCACGCCCTTCCGGCGCAAACAGAGGCTTCGTCCCCGGCATTTTCGGCGGCGAGTTTAAATCTAATTTCATGAGCCCAATTAGGGCACTTGAAGCTTCTTCAGATGACTGCGATGATATCTCCGGTAATGATTTATTCCTAATTCAGTTTTTTCTTCTGCGAATTGCTCGCACAGTCGTATTTACTGTGAAAAGTCAACGACAAACACAAGAAAAAACTGTTCTTTTTGCACACTTTATCTTTTTTCCAAGGAAGGACATTTGAAATGTGGAGCAGGTCAATGTTGTCCTGTTTAGTTGTATCCTCATGGCTCCATGATGTCATCCTTCACAAGCGTTCTTTTTTCAAGCTTTTGTTTGAAGCAAATTATTCCTAATGGGATAACTTTGATTTTTACTCTATGTATTCTGCTCCCAATTTATGTGTCATTTTGATTTGGTCAATTATTTAACTGAAGCTTACAAGCATATCAAGAAGTAGATTTTGCTCCGTCTTAAATGCTTTGGAAAAAGACTAAAGTATTAGTAAAACATTAAAAATATACCAAAACAGTAGTTTCATGTTTTTCTCCAAAATAGGAGTTAAAATGTATTTATAGTTCCAATCATGACCATAAATCATTACCAAAAAGTATTGTGAAATGTCCATGTATATAGTGCAAACTTCTATTTAGGGGATAAAAACATGGAACTCCTATTTTGGTACTTTCTCCATGTTTTACTCCAATTTAGGGTGACTTTTTTTCAAGCATGCTGATGACAACTGGGAATGTGATGGTGCATGAGTTAATTACATTATAGATTAAACTCTCTCAATTCCTTAAAAATGTTGATCTAAGGTTTTGCCCCTCTACTTCAAAGCTGAAGTTTGTATACTCCTTTGGAAAGGGACAATAATTTTGAGAGAAAAACTTTCTCAAAATGACCCTCATTTGTTTTATGTAATCAAGCCCAGTTTTTACGTGTTTAACTGCTGATGCTTGTACTTTGGTTTTTCAATTTATTCTTTTTATTTTTATTTTCTTATAGCAATGCTTGTACTTCTCTGTTTAGGCAAGGATAAACTAAAGACACGTACCCTTGGAAATTCTTCAAATATTTTCTGGCACAAATGCTCGGTAGAGAAGAGTGACAGAGAGAAGTTGCTTCGGCAGAAGGGATGTGTTGTTTGGATCACTGGTCTCAGTGGTTCAGGTTTGTTAGTTATTAATCATTTCTGTTCTATCTACATGTCTTAACTTATTCTAAAAGCAACTTTGCTACTATACTTTTCATGTATTTCTCATACAACCAAAAGGTTCATTCTTTATCCTCAAAAGGTTACACATTCTAATGCCGGGGAAGTGAATTTGTAGCTAGAATGTTTTTCCACCTTTCTGGGAACAGCCTCTCTACTTCATAGTACTGGACACACACCCTCCACATACCCAACTTTTGTGGGATCCTACTGGTTTTGTTCACTTTAGAGGGTGGAGGTTCGCCGGAAAAGAAAGTTTTAGGAAGAGAGTGTTTAGAGCTTACGGGAAAAGAGATTTGAAATCCAATTTTGCGCCAGATAAATACTATTGTAGGCAATTACCAAGTAGAGACTGAATACAGCTGAGCTCAGGCATGGACTTAATTATTACTAGATTTTTTCTACTGAAATGAGCTAGGTAACTAATTAACCTTTATTTGCATATCTGCAAACATGGTAACTCCTTTCACGTTATGCATGTGTAACAACATTCCTCTCCCCACCAAAAGAAGCCCTGACCTCAAGGCTAATATATCTAAAAAGACGACAAGGTGAGGTTCCAAATAAAGCGAGGCTTCAGCTTTGGCTGTCATATTAGGCTATTAGCCCTCTAGGTGAGGACATTTGTGATATGAACCAGGAAAACTTGGTAATTTTATTTTCCCGGGTAAAGGGCATCTGGCCAGGTGAAATAAATATTTGCAATATTTTGGATATCTGCGGGCATACGGCCTCCCAAAATTAAAAAAGGGTACGAGGTTTGACCCGAATGGTCCAGAAGCAATTTGGGCTGAAACAAAAAATTTGCCGGATCTGGACAAAACCGGTTCCGGCATCCTCCAAACTGGCTGAATCCTAGTGTACGGACTTCCACAGACTTGAATGTCCTCCAGCAATTAAATTTCCATATTTGTTCTAATATCTTGCGTGATGTGTATGTATTCAGGATAAAATGGGCATCAATACAAAAGGGCTTCTGGAAGAGCATCCAGTGCCTCAAAAAGTTCGCTCATTTCCTGCATTACTATTGTGTTTCTTGGATTCTTTTATCACTTAAAGACTTAAGACCTTCCATCCAGCATGTGTGAGAGGTTTTATGTTCGATTATAGCCTCACTAAATCCAACAGGATGATTGTTAAAAGCCAAATAAAAGCCAATTAAACTAAAATTAGCCACACATCTTTTAAGGTTACCATTCAAGTGCAAACACTCTACTAATTCCTTCCACCTTGTGTGTGTCTAACCTTACCTAAAGCAATCATGCTGTGAGTTTTTTGTCTTTTTACCTGCTAATACTAATAGTCCAGTCTTTATTATCTAGGAGTTGTGTATTGCGATGTTTAAGGTTATTTATATTTCATCAAACCACCTTGTCTACCATGGTCCATGGTGTTGTTAATATTTGGGGTCTAAAACTGATTATGGTCTTGTGCTGAATGTGATTTCAGGAAAGAGCACTGTGGCATGTGCATTAAGTCGAGGCTTACATGCACGGGGAAAACTTACTTACATTTTAGATGGAGATAATGTCCGGCATGGTCTGAATAGGGATCTTAGTTTTGGAGCAAAGGATCGAACAGAAAACATTAGACGGGTCGGTAGGTTTCTAACATGTTCTTCCTTCAGTGCTTTCTTTTCTTCTTGGAATTTAATGCCTTATTGCGTGCTCTTAGAAGACAACATTTCACTCTATTTTACTCCATACGTAGGCGAGGTGGCAAAGCTTTTTTCAGATGCTGGAGTCATTTGCATTGTCAGTTTGGTATCTCCATATAGAAAGGAGCGGGATTTTTGTCGTTCTTTACTTTTAGAAGGAGATTTCATTGAGGTTTAACTTCTGCCATTGATGTTTTTCACTGAAGACATGAATTTGTACTATGTAGGATATTTATAGCTAGAGGTTGCTCACTATGAGTCTGGCCATTTCTAGGTGTTTATGGATGTTCCTTTGCACGTTTGCGAGGCAAGAGACCCCAAGGGACTGTACAAACTTGCCCGCGCAGGTAAAATAAAAGGTGCTTCTCTTTCTGTGTCACATCTCTATCGTACACAAAAAAACATGTTTTTTCACTACACCCATAACACAAAAATGGCTCTTGAAGAATCCAACCAAACTGCAGAATTGGCTGTTACTTATCAGTTAAAGGTACGAGTGATCATTTAAAGCTAACTGCATGAACGAAGGTAACCATCGTCCCTGATGTGTATAGGTTTTACTGGGATTGATGATCCATATGAGCCACCTATGAGTCCTGAGGTACAGCATTAAAAAAATACACAAGTGCTTTCCCCTTGTTGTACGAATGCACGGATTGAAGTTGTAAAGAGGCAATCTTTTTTTATTTGCAGATAGTGCTTCGCCTCGATCAAGGATGTAATGATTCACCCAGTGCAATGGCTGAGATTGTGATCTCTTACCTGGAGGAAAAGGGGTACCTTGAACCATAGCCACCTCCTCACATCCTAGTCCATTTGTCTCCGAAATGCAGGAAATATAGGGATTTAGTCGATGACTGCAGATTTGGCCTATTCTGTCCATCCGTAATTAGAGAGGGACGACAAGGAAGAAACAAATGGCACATGATCATGGAATGAGGGAGAGAAGAAGAGGGAATGTCATCTTAAAATGAGAGAGAAGAATTGTGTCTAGCTTCCTGTTTTGGCTATAATATCTGAATTGTTTTGCATCTTCATAACAGCAACAATGTCATTTTCCCTTGAATTCATTACATTGCATCATATCCAGTTATTTTAATGCCTGTAGAACATATGAATTGATGAATGGAACATATGAATTGATCTCATTCTGAAATATCAAAGATAGACTAAAAATGCTGCAAAAAAAAAAAACACAGAGAGGCTACTTCATCAATTCCCTTTGAGTTTTAGCTCTGCATATAGGGAGCAACAGAGGGCAGCCATCTCTCCCCCCTGCTTCTCTTTAGCTCTGCAACACGTTCTTCATCTCTTAGAAGATATGCTCTGGTAGCTGCATCTCTTGCTTCTGATCTCGCCATTGCTCTCTGAGATGCATCTTTGGCTGCAGCCATTATGTCACTCCCTGCAACCGAAACTGATTTGATCCGCTTTTTGAACTCCTTCGACCCCTCTTTGATTTCCTTCCCAGGAAGGATTCTCGGCTTCTTTCTGTTTCGATTAAGCTCGTCTGGGAACCAAATAAACACCACATTTCACATCATCATCATCATCATCACCATGAAAATATAACTGGACATGGCCAGAATCTTTTCTCCATCATTACCTGTGTGGTCGTCTGCTATTCCTGGCGGAGCACGTTTGAACAGCCTGATTCCTCCGCCACCGCAGCCATTGATGGGATCTTCAAGAGTATCATCCCTTGTGTCGCTCACTACTTCTATGGCCTTCTCTATAATGTCATCTAGAAGCTTCTGAGCCTGCTTTAGTAGATTAAATAGTCAATCGGCGCATATATTTGAAGAATTAAAAGGAAAAATAACTGATAAGCTTGCGCCGAGTAATAATGGAGGATAATAAATTGAGACGACGGAGAACCTTGATTTGGTAGTGGGTAAGCTTTGGAGGTTTCAGAGCATCTGATTCATCTTCGCGGGTGGGATGAGTGATTGAGGCAGATGAATGAAGTCCGTTGGCGGCGGCGGCGGGGGCGGAGCAGCGGAAGGGTGTGGCGGCGGCGATAGAATCTATGGCGGCTCTCCATTCGGCATCGCCGTCTTCTTCTCCGCTGCTACTACTGCTGGCTCGATCGCCACCCATCGCGGCTGATAAGCCCTTTCACGGTCGTTTCGGGCTTTCAATTGAAATAGCCATATCTAATGGGCCAGGCCCATAAACTGTTAAATAAACGGGCTCGGCATTCCATCCAGATCAAAGCCCGTACACCGCGACGGATGAGACGGCTACCGCCATCTTAACGGCCGGCGAACCTCAAAGCATCTCCTCATTTAGCAGTGCGATCGGCAAGAACGTCGGTAACGCGACTTCATCGGAGAGCTTCTCCCGAAACCCTAATTGTTCGTCGACCAGGAAGAAGTCTCACTACCATGGGGAAGAAACAGCATAGTAAGGATCGGATGTTCATAACCAAGACTGAATGGGCGACGGAGTGGGGCGGCGCTAAGTCCAAAGAAATCCGAACTCCTTTCAAGCGTCTTCCCTTCTATTGCTGCGCGTAAGCTCCCATTTTCTCATCTTCCTCATAACTGTATTTACTCAAGCACATAGTTTACGCCTTCACCATGAACGCAGGCTTACATTTACGCCTTTTGAAGACCCTGTTTGCACTGAAGATGGTAGTGTGTTTGATCTCATGTGAGTATTCATCCAATTGATATCTTCTTTTTTGTTTTTGAATTTTGATGGGTGCTAATTATTAGTCTGGTCTTGAAATTTTATAGGAATATTATACCATACATTAGAAAATTTGGAAAGCATCCAGTTACGGGAGCTCCGCTAAAGCAAGATCAACTCATTCCACTTACTTTCCACAAGAACACAGAAGGTAATGAATTGTTTGTATCAAACATTTTCATTCCGATGGAGATTTGTAGTGTATATATTAAGTTATGAAGTCTGCATAGCAAGTAGTTGTGCTTCAATGTTACCTTGATGCTAGAATAGTTGGGTCATAAAGAGTTAGTGAACAAGGACGAGTATGCATGCGATGTGTTTATATTGTGCAATGGTGTTCTGGCCAAATGCCGGTTTATTTTTTGCAGGTGAGTTCCATTGCCCTGTCATGAACAAGGTTTTTACAGAGTTCACACACATTGTTGCTGTAAAGAATACAGGCAATGTCTTCTGCTACGAGGTATTTATGTACTCCGTATAATGTATTCCTCCATTATGTGCTCCTAATACATTTTTGCATCGCTTTTCTAAATGTAATAGTTATCCATAATCTTGTTATGTAGGCAATTAAAGAGTTAAACATTAAACCAAAGAACTGGAAGGAACTTCTCACTGATGAGTCATTTACTAAACAAGACCTGATTACTATTCAGGTAGCTTAAGCACTTTATTGTACCCTTGTTTGCCCTTGCCTTAAAAAAATCAATTGATCCTCACCCAAAGTAAATGTATGGTGATATGTTTGTAGAATCCTAACACGCTGGATGCCAAGGTACTTGTGGATTTTGATCATGTCAAAAAAAGTTTGAAGGTCGATGATGAAGGTGTGTGCATCCTTCTTTCTCTTTAAAACCCAGCATAAATTTCTATTTTTTCTGTACTTAAATCTCTTACTGCGTGTCATCAGAATTGAAGAAAATGCAATCAGAACCATCTTACAATATAAATGCAACCGGGGATATCAAACAAATGCTAAAAGAGCTTGGTACCGAGAAAGCAAAGGAGATTGCAATGCAAGGTGGAGGCGGGACCAAGGCACAGAATGAAAGGGCAGCTGCACTCTCTGCCATTCTAGATGCCAGAATACGTGTCAAAGAAGACTCTAAGTCAAGTGAAAATGGTGAAGGTAAACCCAAACAGGCCTTCAGTATTGTAGATGCTGCATCTGCCTCAGTTCATGGAAGAAGTGCTGCTGCTGCTAAGTCTGCTTCGAGTGATAAAGCTGCTGCACGGATTGCATTGCACATGGCCGGAGAAAGGGAACCTGTAAATGCTAAACTGGTGAGTTTTTTTTAAAATAACCCATCTTGAAAGCATACAAAGTAACAGCATTCTACTATTGAGATATTTTTTTGTTTGATCACGACTTTCCATTATTTTAAATCCTTGAAGGTCAAGAGTCGTTTCACTACCGGTGCTGCTTCACGATCCTTCACTTCTACCAGTTATGACCCTTTGACAATAAATGAATATGAATATGTCAAAGTTGAGAAAACCCCTAAGAAGAAAGGTTATGTTCGGCTTCAGACAACACATGGTGATTTGAACATTGAGCTGCACTGTGATCTAACACCAAGAACGTGTGAGAACTTCATCACATTGTGTGAACGTGGCTATTATAATGGAGTGGCTTTTCACAGAAGCATTAGGTGCATTAACTTGTCTATTCTTAAATACCCATTAAATGATCTTGTTTATCAGTTTTTTCCTCCTTTAATATTGAAAAACCTAAGCTGTCAATGTCTTGCAGGAATTTCATGATTCAAGGGGGCGATCCTACTGGAACGGGACGAGGTGGTGAGTCTATATGGGGAAAACCATTCAAAGATGAAGTGAATTCCAAGTTATTACATTCTGGAAGGGGTGTTGTTAGCATGGCAAACTCAGGACCACATTCAAATGGTTCTCAATTTTTTATCCTCTACAAGTCTGCGAATCATTTAAATTACAAACACTCAGTTTTTGGTATGGTCGTTGGAGGATTGACAACCCTTTCAGCAATGGAGAAGGTCCCAGTTGATGATAATGACCGGCCTCTGGTTAGTAGGAGTTTGTGTTATTTCTGCTCTGCATTTCTTTTTTTTTTTCCTGTTTTGAATCTAATATTCTAATGGCATGCTTCACAAACAGTGTTTATTAATTTGATTGAAAATTTCTAGTTCCACCCTGGCAAGTTGAGTGCATACATGGCTCCATGCATTTAGCTTCCATGTATTTTAATTATTTTCACCTTCTTGCCCTTTGGATATTATTTCAAGGACAGTCTATGCCCCATCACATCCTGAATTCTCCAGGATATGTATACCTGCTATGATATTTTTTTGGGTTTATGAATCATTCATTACCCTATTGCTTGTGACATTTACAGGCAGTATTATTTTTGTGTTATTGTGTCTTCTATGTAAGTTTGTCACACTTGTGTAGGCCTCTCATCTTTGTTATTCTTCATTGTGCTCTTGTGCAGGAAGAAATAAAGATCATTGATGTAGAAGTCTATGTGAATCCATATGCAGAATCTGATGATGAAGAAGATGGTGAGAAACCAGGCGATGAGAAGAAAATTGAGGATGAGGATAATGTTAGTTCTTAACTTATCATTTCTTTTACCTTTTGAGATCTGAACGGTGTTTCAACCATATTTGCTAAGTTTTTTAATTCCCTCACCTAAAAATGGATCGTTGTTCCTCTTATGTGACAAAAATGTATTTTTCTGCTGTGGCCATTTCAGGATAAGGTTGGTTCATGGTACAGCAATCCTGGAACCGGGTCAGACACTCAAGCGGTTAGCGGTGGTGTTGGGAAATACTTGAAAGCAAGGAATGCTCAAGCTGATCTTAATTCCCTCCCACCAATTCCTTCCTCAAAGAAGAGGAAAGTCGGTGTCTCCACAGAATTCAAAAATTTTTCTGCCTGGTAACTCTTATTACCCAAGAGGAAGGTTCTGGAGAGCAAAGCTTGTTAAGAGCAGCCCAAGCTCAACCAAGAAGTTGGCAACTCCCTGTGGACAGATGTTGTATTCATTAAACACAATTTTTCTCCCAGACTTTTGATACTCTAATTAAAAAGTATATGTTCTTTCACTGAATATTCATCTGTTTTTTTACCAAAGCTGTGCTGTATGAAGCTGATAGCTATTGGGAAAGGAGAGCTTATGCTCATGGGTGCCTTGTGATGCCTGGCTAGTCCTTGGAGGGAACCAATCTATGTCTTTATCCTATCACTAGTCCTGTAGAGTCTCTCAGAAAGTGTAATTAATGTTGATTTGCTCTTGAAATCTAATCGTATTGCTATCATTCGGTGCTCTTGCAGCCATAGTAGTTTCAATAACTTACTTTTGGCATTTTATTTGGTTATTAGTCACTGAACTTGTATTTTTTGAGGTATGGAAGTAACAAAAGTAAGCCGTAACACAGAGGAGGTGTGGTGTGTTTGAAAGCTGGATTGCACACTTGATCCTTTTTTTGTATGGCAGGTCCGGACCTAAACATCATTATAGGAAGCAAGGAAGCATGCCATTTGAAAGCAGCTGAAAGAGAAAATGATGTCATGTGCCCGTTTAATCCCTCACCTGATCATTTTGTCCGTCTCCTAAAGGTAAGAAGGCTATCTTTTCTTTTAGTGCCCACTTCTGTGTTCTCTCTTTTGTTCATGAAAATTGTCCTTAAAAACTCTAAGGGTCCGTTTGGTATACGAAATTGGTGGAATTGGAATTGAAATTTCATGGGATTTAATTCCATAGAATTAAATTCATAAATTCCAATTCATTTTTTGCACTATCAATTCCAATTCCACATAATTTTTGTGCTCCCAAACACCGGAATTGGAATTGAAGTCCTCAATTCCAATTCCATTGTTTGAATTCCGTGTACCAAACAGGGCCTAATTCTTTGCGAAATATAGTCCATTTGAGAAGATTGTTTCTATGCTTGTGTCATTTTTGTGTGAGAAGCATTTCACTCATAGGGCATTTAGTCTAAGGTTCTTATATTTGGTAGCATTCTTAGAGCGATTTGAAGAATGTTTTGACTAGATGCTTTGTGAAACTACTCTACCCGATTTGGTAAAACATTTAGCTAAATTTTCCATGTTATTGACTAAAAAGGGTACAAGTTTAAATAAGACAATATATTGCTAATCCAAAGTTTTTTAATTAAATGTCGAGTTTCACCGTGTCAAAAACTCAAAAGGTTTTTTATGCACATAAACTTCAGGCATACAAATGACACCACGACCACTGTCCATATTTATGTGGCGATATATGTTGTCATCCCTCGGTTAAGATTTAAGAAATCACTAAATCACTCAAAATAAATGAGTAAAACATAGGTAAAGTATTAGAATAGGAGCTCCATTTTCTCCCAAAATAAGAATTTGCATTGTGATAATATGTCATTGTATATTAGTATTTGAATTTCATAGTATTTTTTAGTAATATATGTTGAAATTACTGGTATTGTTACTCTTACGGAGTATTTTGAATATAAAAATATGGAACCCTTATTTACGTACTTTCTCTATATTTTATTCCTATCTTAGCCTTTTTCTCTTTATATTTGTATCGTAGGAGAAATTAAGGTATCCAACCAAATAGCGTAATTATATTGTATCGTACGATACACCTATATATTTTTTCGAAAGTGCTTCTCAAGTTCCTGAATTATTTTAAGTGTTTGTTAGGTCTCTATATATTTTCGACAGTGCTCTATGGGTCTCTAAACTATTTATAGTGCTTACTGGGTCTATGTAATTTTTAACTAGTGCGTTGGTGGTCCCTTCGGTGGCTTTTTTCCTACCAAGTTTTCTGAAATTATTGTAAAAATGATGTTATACCATAAATTTTCAAACAACTTGTCCAGATAATAGAAGTAACTCTTTTATATGATTCAAATTAAAGTTCACACGCATTACTTTTTTATTAAAGTAATTAAAAAGTGCTTGATTAACACCTTTTCTACTCCCTCCGTCCCCAATTTGATTACAATTTTTCTCTCTCGTCTCGATAATTTTTGTTTGTTTACGCAATTTCATTAAGTATTTGATAAAATAAAATATTCTTGTCAGTTTTGATTTTGTAGAACTTTTAAAGTAATTTTTTAACAATATAGGTGATCGTACGATACATGTTTTTATCCATATACCGATTTGTAAATAAAATGATTTCAAAAAGTGAGATATTTCTTCTCGTAAACCTCAATTTGTAATCAAATTGGGGACGGAGGGAGTATTTTTTATACAGAATATTCTTTATGTTTTTAAATAGTATTTCTTAAATTTTGTGAAATCGAACTTTTACTTCTTTTTTAGACCGGAGAGAGTAGCCTTTTGCAACATACTCGGCATAAAAGACACAAATCTGTTAACAAAAGTACTGTTTGCAACATCATTTTGATCCCTTTGAGAAGGATTATTAAAAGAAAGGGGGAAAAAAAGAAGAAGAATTACAAGTCCCAAAGAAATTGCCAAAATAGTGTAAGCAGAAAGTATGATATTCCTCTGTTATGTGATGGCCTTTTAAAAATTAAATCTCTGTTGGAGATAAATTAGTGGGAAAACTGTCTATATTCATGTCTAGTGTTTGTTATTCTATGGCGTAGGGACATAATTAAAGTTGTTAAAACCCAGCACGCCATGGATTTTTTTCTTTCTCTAGATACTTATATAAAATGAACATTATCCTAGTGTCTCCTAGCAAGGAATGAAATGAAAAGTGGTCTGGAAAAAAGCAGTAAATTGAGCTTTAATTACATATTGATCAATAATAAGTATGATTTGTTCTTGATATGGTACGTGCATCGATTTGATACGTAGTACGCATAGTCATCACACAATTAAATTTAAATTACTCTTGGGCCATGTGTTATGGCGGGTTGGAAGGAGGCTTGACGGAGTGTAAAGTTGTATGACATGGAGTGATGAAAAAATGTGTGTTATGGTGAGTGTGAAAGAATGTGATGAGATGTGAGGTTAAGATAAATTCTTCATTCTTATATATTTTCATCTATCATTTTATAAAATAATTTCTTTATGTCACATCTTATTTGTTATGAGTATTTTTTTATATAATTTTGAAATTTATTATTTTTTTAAAAAAATCGTCACTATATTTAAATAGAATAACTAAAAAAATTGCACAGTAATGTGAAACATGGTGGTCGTTCATCATCATCTCTTGCACGCCGGCCCGCAGTTCTTTCTCCACCACATTGCCTGTTTCTTCTTCTCATGATGTTTTTCTTTTTTTAGAATTGAACTCCTCACGCACTCTGTTTTTTCTTCATTTAATTTTTGTGTGTACGGTATTATAAATCATGCCATTGTAAGATGACGTGTAACGGTATTTGTCTTTTATTTTTATAAGGGATCCTTTTATTCTTACCAGGAACGAAAATTTTTCTATTTTCTTTTTTCATCTGTCTCAAAAAGCACTTTTTATTTTTATAAAAAAGTCACTTTTACTCATTACTTTTTCATACTCTACCTATCACATCATATCTTTTTATTAATAATTTATCCATCATATCTTATTTTTATCCATTACATTAAAAGACTTTTTTTTGAAATTCAATACCAAAATACACCGCCTTTAGATTTCTAAACTTAATAACTTCCATGTTTTTATGACCGGATGGATTATATACCACCTATATAAGAAGATGATGTTACATGGAACCCTAAAACATATTTCGAGATGTATAGCTTACTCCCTCTCTAAGTCTCCTCTCATTATAAAAACTCTACATGTTTTAAATTTTTTAATCAAACATTGATTCTTTTTATCATAAATTAAATATAATCTAAATAAAGGAATGTTATAAAAAAATTAATATATCAACATTATATTATGAAAATATTTCAAGTGGTAATATTAATACACGGACAATATAAATTCTCTTTCCGTCTCAAAATATTTATCTAGTTTTAATTTTTCCCGTCAATCAAGATTGATCTTTAATCTTATAATTAAGTAAAAATTATATGGTATATTAACTACATTAAAAGTTAATTTGAAAACATTTTATAAGATAAATCTATAGTAAAATTATACGTGTATCATTATCTAATATTATCAACTTTATTTAATTAGTGTTTGAAATTTATCAAATTTAACCATAAAAATGTAAATTTGGACAAATATGGAGGTACGTAGTAAATGCATGGTAAAAGTAAAACCCAATGAGGCAGACGTTTAGCCTTTTTAAAATAAATTACTTTCTGTAAATTGAGAAGACTCCACTCCACCCAACAACACAAAGTCCATATATATAGTGGAGGGGCTCCATCTCCATCCTCAAAATAATTATCATATCAAAACTATAAATTTGTTGGGAGGTGAGTTAGTTAGGAAATGGATACTTTGTTTAGACTTGTGAGAGTACTTCAACAACCCCAACAACACTCCTTCAACTCCACCACTACCTCCTCCACCTCCACCATCCTCCTCCACCACCACCACCACCACCACCACCACCAAGAAGAAGAAGAATGCTTCAACTTTTACATGGATGAAGATGATGATGCCTTCTCTTCCCATTCCTCCTCCAAGCACCACCACCCTTACCCATCCTCCTCCACCGCCACCACCCCTCCCTACCCCCACCCCCACCACCACCACTTTGACCCGAATCTCGAATTCGGGTCATCCTTCTCGTCGGGCAACAACTGGGCCACCGACATTCTCGTGGAAACGGCGCGCGCAATGTCCGACAACGACACCGCCCGCCTCCAACACCTCATGTGGATGCTCAACGAGCTCTCCTCCCCCTACGGCGACACCGACCAGAAGCTCGCCTCCTACTTCCTCCAGGCCCTCTTCGCCCGCATGACCGGGTCGGGCGACCGCACTTACCGGTCCCTTCTGTCTGCCTCCGAGCGGGCCTCCTCCTTCGAGTCCACTCGCAGGACGGTCCTCAAGTTCCAAGAAGTCAGCCCTTGGACCACATTCGGCCACGTGGCGTGCAACGGCGCCATCATGGAGGCCTTCGAAGGCGAGAGGAACCTGCACGTCGTTGACATCAGCAACACGTTCTGCACCCAGTGGCCGACGTTTCTAGAAGCCCTGGCCACCCGCCAGGACGACACTCCCCGTCTCCGCCTCACCGTGGTGGTCGTGGCCGGCGGCGGGGCGGCGAGGGTGATGAAGGAGATCGGGAGCAGGATGGAGAAGTTCGGCAGGCTCATGGGAGTTCCGTTCAAGTTTAACGCCGTTCACCACGACGGCGACCTCTCAGAGCTGGACCTAACGGCGCTGGACGTCAGAGATGACGAGGCGCTCGCGATCAACTCCGTCGGAGCGCTGCACTCCGTGGCGGCGGTGAACGGCCGCCGGGACTACCTCGTATCTCTCTTCAAGCGGCTGCAGCCGAGGATCTTGACGGTGGTGGAGGAAGAAGCTGACGTGGAGGGCTTCGACTTCGTCAAGGATTTCAGGGAATGCGTGAGGTGGTTTAGGGTTTACTTCGAGTCGCTGGACGAGTGCTTCCACAAGACGAGCAACGAGCGCTTGATGCTCGAGAGACAGGCGGGTCGGGCAATCGTTGACCTGGTCGCCTGCCCGCCCGGGCAGTCGGTGGAGCGGCGGGAGACCGGGGAGAGGTGGTCCCGCCGCCTCCATGAAAGGGGGTTTAGTCCGGTGCCGTACAGCGAGGAGGTTTGTGAGGACGTCCGGGCGCTGCTGAGGAGGTACAGAGATGGTTGGACGATGGGACAGTGCTCTTCCGCCGGAATATTCTTGTCGTGGAAGGATCAGCCGGTGGTGTGGGCCAGTGCATGGAGGCCTTGACCGCCGGCGGCGCGGCGGATTAGGTTGTAGTGTGGAGGAACGCTTGACTCGTCACGTGAGGTATCAGTTTTTTGGCACGTGTGCATGGTACCCAGCCAGTTTGGAGCTTGTTGATTTGTTGGGTTAATTGGTAGCTTAGATAGACAAATTAAAGGTATTTTTATATATTATCATTGGTTTCTTTTTTTCAAAATGAAAGTATCGGGATTAGTCTCGAGTGGCTTGGTTTTTTTTATTGTTTGTTCGTTTTCAGAATATCAGTAATTGTCTTGCGACATTTATTTATTTATTTATATCTCTTCTTTGGGTTTTGCTTCCATTATCTCCGATGGAGCCAAAATTTCACCATTTTTGGCTTTGGGGTGTGATGGAATAAATCAAAATGGATCTCTAAACTATCTGCGCTTCTTTAATTAATGAAGTAGCAGTTAGTCAAACAATGCAACTTTCGACGTTGAGCCGGAGGTCTCTTTGGAAACAGTCTTTCTACTTTCGAGTAGGGGCAAGGTCTGCGTACACACACCCTCCCCAGACCCTACTCTTGTGGGATTTAACTGGGTTGTTGTTGTTGTTGTCTTCTTTGGGTTTTATTTCAAAAAACAAGAAAGTGGTTTAGAGTAATTGCATGTGTATGCACTCTATAGCAATTCAATGCTCAAAGTTGTGTTTAATTTTTTTTTTGTATTTAAATTCGTTCTTGCGCATATATGCACATATATATATATGTACATTGTACTTGTACAAGTACCCGGCCACTATCATACGTAGCATATTTTTCATTTTATTCAGCTAAGATATATAGATATTTATTTATATAAAAAAATGAGCATATTGTTTATTTTTTAATTCAGATAAGATAGATATAAAAAAAAAGGATGAAGAAGATGCATTATGTAACCCACTAGAGGTCAGACAGGAAAATACTGTTAAAATTAAAGAAAGAAAAAATAAAGGGAGGAAAAAAAACTGGGTGTGATGGTGTAAGGAAAACATAACATAAAGCGAAAAACTTTTAGACCCACTCTGAGAAAAGGGAGGGAAAGAAATGATAGAAAATAGGAAGGGATGGTGCGTGGAAACCTGCTTTTTAGGTGGGTGGGGAAGAAGCAAAGCAAAGCAAAAGGCTTTCTGATCTTTTTTTTGCTTTGCTTTCTTTGAATCTTATTAACATCTTTTTTTCCTTTTCATCATATCAGATTTGCATGCCCCCCGCCTCCCACTCCAACCTTTTTTGTTTTTCTAATGAAAAACTAGTGGAGTACGTAGGATCAATGTATACTCTTCGGCTCTTCCAGTATTTAAAACCCATTTTTCTATGTCACGATCATAAGTTTGAGCTTTTGGTTAGGTTGATTTCTTGACATAATATTAGAGTTTTGATAACCAACAAGTCACGAGCTCGAAACTGACTCCACCTAGTTTAAAATCATGATTTGATTAATGACAGGGGTTGACCGGAAACGGAGTGTCAGGTAACATTCTAGTCCCACGCCGAAGAAAAAAAATTAAAATGAATCAAAATAAATAGGTTCAACCAAACCCATTAGTGTGAGACCTTAATTTTGGTAGGTGTCCAAAAAAAAATCGTTAGTTTTGGCTAAAAGTGGACAAAATCATACTAATATCATACTACTGCGGGGTTGGGGTGAGGACACACGCGGCCCCAACATGTGGTATCGGAGCTCAGGTTTATGCAGGCAAAAGTGGCAGATTACGCAGTGCGAGAAAATCTCATTGTGATGGTGTATCAATAGGACCGCGACCAAAAAGGGAATCTGCAAGTGGTGCCTTTTACCGATAGTCTTCCCGAAAAGAGAAGGTCGGGAGGCGTCTCCTGCAAAGCTGTAACACCGGAATAAGATGATTTGGCAGATCAATTGGTATTGCAAAGAGTAGATCTACGATTCGAGCCCTTGCTTGTATCAAAAGTCTTCTCAACATGAGGTGGTGCGGTGTGTTTTGTGAAGAGTGTAGTGGCGGTGCAAGAAGGTTAGTAGATAAAAATTGATCACATACTGCTGGAGGGGAGTTTACAAGTTGTGTGGTCTTAGTTTGAGAGGAGGTTTGTTCGGTAACATCCTAATCCCACGCCGAAGAAAATATCTAAAATGAACCTAAATAAATACGTTCAACCCAACCCATTAATATGAGACCTTTCGAGAGGTGCCCAAAAACAAATTCGTGAGAGTTGGTCCAGAGCGAACATTATCTTACTAATGCAGGATTAGTATGAGGGTACACGCAATCCCAACACGAGAATGGTTGGTGGTGACAATTAGGGATGACAACGATTCTTATTTTGGTCAGGTGGAGCTTCAAACTCATCCATCCATCGACTCTGAATTCATCATTCGTTACATTTGATCATAATGGATTAATGAAAATTTGTTTTTCCTTTAAAAAAAATCTAGATGCTTTTTTTTTACATGACATCAAAATTTGAAAGTAAAAATTGTAAACAATCCTCTCATTGTTCATAGTTTTTGGATCGGAGTAAAAGTGATACATTTTGAATTATCATACAACAAACACATCAAAGCTCTACAATTTTACTGCAGTGATTTACATCTACCCATTGTGCTCTAAAGAAAAGGGTAAATTAAAGGGCTCTTCTATAAAAGTCTTCACTTGTGTTCCTGCATTGTATGTGAAGGTAGACGCCACCTTTTATGCCAGAATATCGACACTCTCGACCACAACGGAAACCCGAAATTGTACTCGAGCGGCTGGTCCACGGGTCCAGCCACGGTTAAAGGTAGCCATACGTACCTCGAGTCCCTCAGGTCAGCCGGATTCCATCGGTCCGCCATGAATATAAAGAAATCGGGCAGCCCGGGCACGGGAAGCACGAACGTGCTTTGAGAGAAGAACGTCGTCAGTTGGAAAATCTTGTTCCCGCCGATGCACGGGCTTCCGATCGTCTCCCACGGGCCCATTATCGCCTCGGCCGCGTGGGCCAGGGCCTCGTTCGGGGCCCACCCCGTGCACCCGGAGGTGATCATGTAATAAGTTCCTTGGTTCTTGAACAACGCCGGGGCTTCGCGGTGGTACCCCACGAGAACCCTCGACGCGGCGCGGGTCACGTCCAAGTATCGGTCGTCGAGCGGGCCCACGTGAAGCTCGCTATTCTCTACGGAGGAGTAAACGAGATAGGCGGTCCCGTCGTCGTCCTTGAAAACGGTCATGTCTCGGCTATCGTATCCGTGGGGCCGTATGCTATAGAGGTAGTCAAAGGGACCCGTTGGGGAGTCGCTAACCGCAACGCCCGCCGAAGCTTTCGTGTAGTTTGTGTCATCTATGTGCATCCACATTACGTATTTGCCCGTCTTGTCGTTGTATATTACCTTTGGCCTCTCAAGAACGTTTAGTGTGTATAGATCGTGCGTCTCGTTTTTCTCCTCCGCTGCTAATACAATGCCTTCGTTTTTCCACGTCCACAAATCCGTCGAAGAATAGCAACCCACCCCGATGACATCAACCTGCAAGGGTATATATATGCCATAATATGAGACATACACTCCAAGTAGTATGTGAAGATGGGCTTCTGGTGAACTCAGTTAATAATATGATGAAATCAATGGAAAGCAAAGGAAACAACAGAAGTGGCAAAGTCCATTAAACATAGCAACAAAAGATTGGAACTTTATGGGTTTTAACACATGATGGGTGCACACAACACAGATTAGCATAACCTTAGAATCCATAACTACTTACGAATAACAAAAAACATCATCGAAATCTTACCCGAGCTGCTCCTTTTTTGTGGGCGTGGTAGGTGGGCCCGTCTTTATACTCTCCATACCAATAATACACATTTGTCTTCTCGTCGTGTAGAATGCCGCCTCCATGCGCTTGAATCGGGTTCCCATCCGTATCCAACCATATCCTCCCCGGGTAATAATAGTTCGTACCGTTTCCAGAATCTTTCCTGGGATCCACAGCATATTTCATACCAGGAAAGAAAAAGCCCCTAATCTGGGAGGACTCATCAAGAAACTCATCAACCAAAGTGGTTGGCCTCCTGGGCCCCCTCCTCTTGACAGCGCGAGGCGACCTCTTCCTTGGTGGAGGAAGCTGTAGACTGAGCTCCTCAACTTTCTCTAGCTCGTGAAGCAGTTCGTGGCGGTTAATGCGTCTTTGAGACTCCCTGATTTGGGGATCCTTTTGACGGATTAGCGAATACAGATGGAGCAAAACAAGAAAGCCCAATAGGCTCAATACCACAACTGGCCACCTGCTCCCTACATTGCAACTTAAAGTGGTTGGTTTCCTATACTTGCCCTTCGTCCTCATTTTGTTGTTATCAAATTTTTTCTTCTTTTCTCTTCAATACAGTTCTGCAGTTAATTAAAAGAAAATAAGAAAATGCAACCTATAGAGATCAAAAGCTAAAGGCATAACCACATAACAATGTTTCTTAATAATGTCTAATTTCCATGGAATTACTCATCCAACAATGATTTATCACACAAATATTGCTCTCCTGCTCAGATCTTCACTTAAATGTCTTTTAGAAAGTTGAAACTACTCTGCAAGAATCCCCCCCAAGCAAAAAGCTAACAACTTTTCTACAGATCCAGAGGAAATCACAAGGAAGAGATATCCATACGAAGCTCAACAAGATTCAATGCAAGAAATTCTTGAAGAAAAATGAACAAAAAGATAATCTTTGTTTCAGATAACAAGCAGAGATGCTTACCTGAAGAAAACCTAGCCATCAATGGAAGAAAATCCCTCCACTTTGATTTCCCAAAGGCCCCTTCTCGGCATCAACGGATCAAAACCTTTCCTCTCTGCTGAATTTCTTGCGAACAGATTTATAAGTGCTGGGTTTCAAGTCTTTCAAACAAGACCCAAATCTTTTTCACTGTGATTTTCTTTTTACTCGAGGGAGCAATGGAATCGAGGGGAAAAAAGGTGAGGTTGGAGAGTCTGGGCGGTAAGAAGTGAGGAGGGTGATGATGACTCGTTTTGAGGAAAGATTGTCAATTACGCTATTGCCGTCCGCTTTGACTTCTCTGGATTTTCCGGTGGAGGGAGGAGATAAGGCCGCGTTTGTGGGTTTCGTCATTTTGTGCATAATTAAATGATGGGCTGATGAACAACTACCAAACTTCGTGGCCAAAATAGCCGATGTTATGTTCCATTAACCCCTTGTTTGGTAGAGAGGTAGAACAAAAAAGGAATGAAAATAATGATGGGAGTGAATGTATTGGTCTCAAATAAAGAATAAAGAGTAATAAGAACAACAATGAAGGGAATGAAAACTCATACCGGAAGATATAAAAACTTCCGATTTTATGTTTCACCTTACACCAAAATGAGATTTTAATACCGGAAGATATAAAAACTCATACCTCTTGCTTTCACCAAATGAGACATAAAAAATAATCTTAAACCCAATAAAAAATGGAGTAGCTTACCGATTGTGTATTCAAGTTTTTATTTTTTAATTATTGGGGAGTGTTATTGTACATATTTGATTATTTGATAATTTTGTGCATTTTATGAATATTTTATTTGTGACTCTACCATTATTTGTAGAAAATAGTAAGAGAGAAAATATTTTGTATATTAAATTGGCTTAGAAAGTACAAAGGTCTAATCCCCTTTATATAAAAAGAGGAACAAGGCAAATAAATAAACTTCTTTTTTCTACCATAACAAGAATTATATATCGATCAAACTACGGAAACAATAAAGTTTCTTCCTTTCCTTTCTAGTGTGTCACGCCAACATATTATTCAAACATAAAACTGAGTAGTTTATAACATTATATAGGTACACAAAGTTTTATTTACTTGACAAACAGCAAGTTGAATTCTTCAACACTGCCATATTCAAATCAAAGTATATATGCATATACACACATTCTCAGATTCTTCTGCAACTATATATGTATAACCTAAGCTAAGTTGTAACTTAACCATGAATCTAGCCTACAGGAGCATTTCTTGAACTCCAGGCCAGGGAAAAAAAGATGATCTAATTAAACAACCTATGAACAGAACAAATGAAAGAATCCTTAAACGCGTTCCGGGACGATAGAGCACGGAGAGAAAGACTTCCCCTTGTCCTGATAAGCTTTTGCAGACCACAACAATGTCAGGAAGACTAAACAAATGGAGAGAGACAACATGGAAGACCATAGTTGCAGTGCAGCTTTTCGGAACGGCTTGCATTGGAACCGAACAATGTCTGAGAATGCTTGTTTTACCTGGGAGCACTGAATCAGGCTCACCAAATCTGGGAATATGTCTATCAGGTCTTGCAGAGACTCACTGTATGCCTTGCATTGGTCATATATCGCCTCAGGGAGAAATTTCCCCTCCCTCTCACAATTTCGCGACGATTTGTAGCACGTGAACCGCGAGAGGATCTATATATATATGTACCAATGAAATAACTATTGTTACTTAAATTTTGGTCTGGACAGTAAGTTTGAACTTTTGGTTGAGTTGATTTATTTTTACTTACATTTGGCAAGTTTCCAACGGGTATGGAATTCTGGGGGCATTGATCAGGGACGAAGGTGTAATTAGGTGCACCAGCAAAGGGGTTACAGATTTCCCAAGCTCGCGAATCGCGTTGGGTTTCGGTTGACACCACCGCTGTGAGGTCAGCAAGTTTGGAGTTAATCTGTCATTTGCGCAACAAACTGTGACAAATAAGTCGCGACGAAAGTCGCATTATATTACGATAAACGAAATAGAGCACTTACCTGAGACATGTAGTTGTGGACAGTGTAACCAATTTGGACCAACAATGTGTTGGAAGTTGTGGGCTTGGCACAAGGAACTGCAGATTGCAGGCTACTGTTTTGAGGACTCTGCTGAAAATCTTCCAATGCCTTGCAAGTGTCTTCTGCAAAACTGTAATTTTTTCTCTAAGATTATAATAAGTTTAGAGGGGGTAAAAAAACATGCAGGGATTAAAGGGAAGAGGAGGTTTTACTAACTTGTGAAAGAAGAAATTAACCCCAGTCAGAATCCAACTCAGAGTGGTCAAAATCCAAATGCAGAATATCATGCTGAGAAAGAAAGAGAGAAATTTGAAGGATAGAAACAAAAAAAAGATGTTTGTGTTGATAATGAGCAAAGATCTTTTGACAATATGACACCAAGCATGGGTGTCATTATTGCCATATTATGACATCGGATGTTTCGTTGATATCCGAAATGGTTCCTATCCCTCCCGCCCATTATCCCTTGGAAAGGGCATTATCCATGGGAGCCGAGGTACTAGTAGAGCATGACACTGGTGTCATATTATGACACTCAAAATTGGTGTCAAAAGAATTATTGAGTCGATAAATAAGATAAGACAAAATGAAAAAGGAAATGTCATAAATATGCTTACATAATGAGTCCAAGAGGCCACCTAAAGAAGAATGAAACTGGGCCAAAGCAGCATTCCATTAGTCTAACCACATTTGGTATGTCACATGTTTGTCAACAAGGAAACTCTAGTAAAAACAAAAGGAGTGTAATAATAGCATATATATATCAACTCTTATTAAGCTCTCCCCATTACTTAGCTCAAAACAAATATTCAAATTTACACCTAATTTGAGTGTCTAAATTCATGTGTTGTGCCCATGCATCTCACCTAATGCGGCGACCAAAAATGCCAAATTGGCAATCACGACGACAAGATTTGTCACATATCTGAAATTTGAAAAAAAATGTGTCAAAAAAACATCTCATATCGAAAATTTAAACAACACAATCTTTCAATGTGATTTGGCACTCACAGAGCTACAATTGCTTCTTTGCTGGAGTGTCTGCTTGAGTCTATGAATTGTTTGACCGACACCGATTCTCTTCTGAGTGAATGTGTTGTGACATTCAGCACACGAAGAGCTTCCGAATTGTACGGGTTGAGGACAGTCTGGATAGTTAACAATATGTTCTTCGTCCTTTGCATGATTTCTTGAGCCTCAGAACCGACATCAAGGATTGTGTCTATGAGCTTTTTGGATTTGTGCACGCTCCTTTGGTTCGCCGCTACCCCTAAGCTCCCTGCAACCCTACAACATCCTCAAGAAAAAGAAGTAGATCAATCTTGAAGTCTGTTTGCTCGTATTCTTATATATTAGTCTTCTTTTAGCCTGATCGTTTCGATGCAGGATTATTATATATACATATATATATTCGACGTTACATAAACTGAATGGTTTATACATGGGGAGGAGTTTAGAGAGACTTAATAATTACATGGTGAGAATGGTGAAGAAGATGATGATGGAGAAGAGCAAGATGTAAGAAGAATGAGGATGATCAACCATATGCTCATAGCTATCACTTGAATTCTTGATCATTATGTAACTTCCAAACCCCACCCCACACAACAGCCAAATCCCCGCTATCACATATCCGTGGATCCCTGTCCTCGTCCTTGACTGTTAGAATATAAAAAAAAAAACTTAATTGAATTAATTATAAAAAAAAACAACATAGGAGGGAAAAGACGAGACACATACGACCCAGTAGTGCTTGTCTGTGATGTTGTAATTATTAGAGCCGCCTCCGCCGCCGCCGCGGCTGAGCAGGGCATTATGGGCATTGACGAGAGGGGTGTCGCGGCAGGCGTGGGACCCGCTAGCGGCGCTGGAGATCAACAAGAGAAGACAGAGATGGACAAAGCGCGACGACGACGATCCGCTTGAGAGAGGAGATAATAGTAAAGGAGACATCATCGTATCCAATATCGATCTCTCCGAAAACTAGCGTTTGTTAGTTTGTGGACAGAGATCAGATCAGAGGAGGATTGAGAGAGGAATGGAGACGATGAGGAAAAGGCGGGGGCGAAGGTTGCTTAAAGGGCGGGAGAACGCAGAGATTCATTCCTTGGCTTGGTGTATTTCAGGTGTGGAATCACTTGCCCTCCCTGTTTTTTTCTTGTTTCCCTTCTTTCTTTCTTTTCTTTATTAGAACAAAGATTTTGAAAAGCTGTGGAAACATTAATTATGGATCACGTCCTTATCTTTTCTTTCATTTAATAAAAACATGACCAATTCCGACTACTATATTGGAACAGCAAAAATGAAATTTTGATCATTAAACATATCATTTTACCCTAATATGTTAGATTTATTCATTAAAATGATTAAATTATTTTATTCTATTAATATACTCCCTCCATTCACAAATAAACTTCTTGTTGCGCGTTACGATGTTTGACTGAAGTTATTTTCAAATCATTTTATATGAAAAATGGTGTAAAATTTAAAAATAAAAATTACATATTAAAATATGATATCAAAAGATCTACAAAACAAGAGGTGACATGACTATATTATTCAATCAAATGAATGACGAAAATAGGCTAACAAAGTAAATAAAGTTTGACCCTGTGAATAGAGAACGAAAAGTTTATTTGTGGACGGAGGAAGTATAATTTAATTGATGAATAAAATTTGTTCAGTATCATTTTAAAAAGTCAAACTTGACAAGTACTTTAAAATGAATGGAGTGATTTGGTTAAAGACAATCTTAAAAATCATCTTTAAGTAAGATTGGGGTTTAAATCTTATTGTTTCAAATTATACATATCACATTTTTAAAATATTCTTACTCCATATTCTTCATCTGTAATTTCATTGATACTTCAATCTTAAATCTTAAAGACAATTTAGCAAAAAACAAAACTAGACCCAATAAATTACTCCGTAGAAAGGAAGTAGTATGTGATGTGTTTAAATATTTTTCAAGCTCAATAATGAGTGTGTTTGTGGGCAGGGTGAAGAAGAAATAGAAAAAGGGGGACATGTTATTAATTTCTCGGTAATTATTGATTAAATATAGATAGACATTAATAAAGGAGAGAGCGTGAGTTACGGGTCTTTGTGCCCACGGAACTCCATCATTATCGTGTGACCGCAAGTTTAATTACAATAAATAATCATTCTGTCTCAATTAAAATTGTCCGTATTAGTTAACCATATTTAATTGAAATTATTTTATATAATTAAAAAATAAAATTTATACATTTAATACTATATGAAAAGACCTACAAGATTAGTGATTTAGTGGTGATATGATTATATTATTTTATGAAATGACTAATGAAAATAAGAGAAAAAGATAAATAAAATTTGACCATGTGAATAGTAAACAGACAATTTAATTTATAACAGAGTGAATAATTTTTTTCCTTTTGGCATAGTGTTAGCTGTTTCATTTTCAAGCAACACTAGTCATTATTTTTTTATTATCCTCCATATATCATCACTTCATTTCGCATAGAAAAATCAAGACTAAATTCTTCTCTCTCTCTCTCCCCCTCAAAGTATACATCTAAGCTTTCTCGAATCAAACAAAACGAACTTTGATCATCAATTATATTAGATTTCGATTATCGAGTGCTTATTAATAAAATGAAGGAAATTTGTATTCGTTTTTCATTAGATAAATATATAGCAATAATTACCAATATTTAATAGGGTTAAGGAGCAAAATAGGAGTAAAACATTGATTAAAATTCAAAATAGGAGTGAAAACATAAAACCCCCCAAAATAGGAGTTGTTGACTCACCGTTTGACGCCGCCAAGATCTGCCACTTTCATCACCCCTTGCTCCTGTTATCGTCGCACGTTGTCGGCATCGCTAACCCCCACAGGTGTAGGGCCATAGTGTTACATGGAGAAAAAATAATTTATACACTGTCAATCAAAAATACAATGCTAAAAATGACAACATACAGTGACAAACATGACATTGTAAGATTCAAAAATACAAAATTTTAGGTCAATTGAAAACAAAATACCAAAGATGTCAATGCACAGTGACAAACGTGACTCTGCAAAATGCCAAAAGTTCAAACCACAAAGTCATTAATTATGGGAAGAAGACAATTAAAATAAACAAACACACAATCTCTCCATTGTTAGCTCTATGCCAAAAAAAGCAAAAAAAAAAATTCCACCCCCACCAATAATAATAAAAAAAGAATCCCAAAAAAAGAAAAAAGAAAACAAATAGAAAGAGTTTGGATTGAAGAAGTAATAGCTAGCCATATATTAGCATCCATGCATGCATGAGAGTTATCATTAGTCAAACATTGTCAGCACTAGTGTCAATGTGTCATGTTCATTTAATTTCCGCCAAGGCAGTGAATGGGTGGCTCCCGGCGGCTAAACAATTGTACAACAAAAAAAATTTAATTACTCCTACTTAGAGAAGTTTAAGTTTGAACTCCTACTTTGAGGATATAACACATGTTTTACTCCTATTTAGGGGGTTTTCTTTATTTAATACTCCCTCCGTCCGGAAATATTCTTCCCATTTTCCTTTTTGGTCCGTCCGGAAATATTCATCCCATTTCCTTTTTTAGTATACTTTTTAAGGATAAATTTCAATAATACTCTTCTATTTTATCACTAATCTACATTTTTAGTACTTTTTAATAAGAAAAGGAGATTTAAAAGTTTATATTATTATTCTTGAAAATTTTGCATTTTTTTTACTATTCCTTAATAAGCGTGCCAAGTCAACATGGGAAGAATATTTCCGGACGGAGGAAGTATAATTTTATTTAGTTGGTGATCAAATTTTATTCATTTTGAATTGAAAAAATCAAAAAGAAACAAATTAGTTTGGGCAAAAATAGTACTCCGTAAAATTTAGAGTATGGAAACAAGAATATCGTACAATGGTTATACTTAATTAATAAAATCTTTTTCAACCTTTTAGTTCATAACAACTTTTTCAATAAAATGATTAGTATAACAGTTAATGCAATAGTTTGGTGGGAAAATTTAGAAAAAATTTTTGAATTGAAAAAGTGAGAAATTAGAAAATTTGATGATTTTATTTTAATATTGTCAACGTTAGACTATATGAACCCGTGCCATCTCGATCTGAAAATGAATGTAAATTTTAATTTTTCAATCAAATTGTGATATTTTTAAATCACAAGTTAAAGTATAGTTTTAAACACAAAATTATAACTCTGTATAAATTAAAATGATACATCTTTCGTCCTAAAATGAGACTCGTTATTTTTCTATGAGATGTCCAATAAAAGGCTTTTCTTAACTTTTATAAAAACTTTGAGTGGCTCGCAAGTGTTGTTCTCTTTTCCACATCACTCAAATGATATAATTTCACTTTTCTTAAACGTTGTGTCACGTTAAACTATGAGCTTTTTTGTAGCGGAAAGACAAAAGAGTACTTTTTATAATTGATAGAAAAATCTAATTAAGAAAGGAAAATTCACAAAAAGGCTTCGATAAATTTTTGATTTTACAAGAATATTCCAAAAATCAATTAATTACATCATTACTTCTAAAATAGCTCTTTTTTTACAAAAACACTCCACCCACCGCCTTAATTGCACAATAAAATTGTGTAATATCTAAATAGACGTATACTTTGAGAAGAAATTATAAGGAGTTGAAAAATTGAAAAGAATTAGAAAAATTTAAAAGTTAACTTTTACAACCCAAAAAACAACCTTGATATTTTAGTTGGATGAAGAATAAGTAATTAATTAATTTTTTGTATGAAAACTAAAAAAATGATTTATTTATTAAGTCATCAATTTAAAAATTTTTGTAAAAATTACACAGTATGATTGTGCAAATGAGACAGCACTTGGAGTGTTTTTGAGAAAATAGAGTTGATGTAATTATAAAAATAATGATATAATTAATTAATTTTCAGAATATTCTTGTAAAAGAAAAAAAAATTTCCTAATGCACCCATGTTATTGTTAAGAGTCAAAATCATTGATTGGGAGAACCCGAGGGATGAATGGAGTGCATATTTTCCATTTATTGGATTAATTAGACACAACATTTATTCGTACCGCAAAAACATTGGCCGCGTTTCGATTCGGAGTTAGGGATCTCTCTCTCTCTCTCTCTGCGCTTCCCAACTCCGACTTTCGCAGATCTCCGAATCGTCGCGTCAACCCATGGGTCTCTGGGAAGCTTTTCTCAATTGGCTCCGAAGGTAGGTCAACCCATCCCGCCCCCCAAGATTCCTAATTTTCATTCCGGATTGCCTTTTATTTTCCAGCTCTTATCCAAACATGGGAACTCTTATCTCTGCAGTGCATTTTTTGTTTTGTCTTCTCCATATTTCGTTTTATATTCAGAGGCTTTTCTATCGTTGTGCGATCCGTTTTCTTTTGCCTGTTTTTTTTCCTTTGGGGTTCTTTGTAGTTACTCTGAAGATTTTTTTTATTATTATATAATGCTCTGTATCTTTTATCAGCCGGGACTCCAGGAAAGCTGCAATGAATAATTGTGGTTATAAAGATTTATCTCACAATCTTTTTAGATTACATTGATGAAACTGAAATTTACTTGTGAAAATGTGCAATTTTGGTGTTCCCGTGCCTGCTTTGGAGGAAATTTTAGCCCATCCATACCTCAATCGCAGCCCCGTTTTGTTTAAAAGAAGTTTCTTGATATTACGAGCATCCACTCATGAGCAAGTTCATTGTATTAGTGGCAAAGAGATGATTTTTTTCTATGTGTTTGGTAAATCATAAGCTTTGCTTTAGTGTTCTTTTGTTATCCTGCAAATGCTACTGGTAGGCAAAGCGAATCCTTCTTAACCTGCTTTTTCTGGACCTCAAAAAATAATATTCAATCCTTGCTCTAGAGTTTACAAATGTGAGCACCTTGGGAGTTTATCACGGGACTGGTTGTATCTTTAGGACTTGTTCGGATTAGGCGCGGCATGGTTACATAATGGATTGCTTGGTATTGAGTATTGACATCATATGGTTATCATTCTAGCGATTACCATGGCAAGCAAGGATATAGTATGGGGTTTTGGTAGGAGTTCAATCGGATTTATTATGCATTTTTATTGATATAGAGGTAAAATAGGAATTTATTTTTACCTCATCCGTCCCATGGGTATTTTCCATCTTTTGCTTTTTGTCCGTATCATAAATTTTTACACTTCCATTTAAGGAAGGAAACTCGTGGTCCATATGTTTCATTCTCTTATTAAATAAATGTCAACCACACTATCAATTTCTTAAGCTTCATGCCACCGGCACTTGGACAATCCAAATGGGACGGAGGAAGTATAAACTTTAGAAAATCATGAAACCCACCAAATTGGTGGCTTAATATTCTTTGGAAAAACAATGAATTTTTAAAATCATGGATTACCTTTGAAAACCATGATATGGGATTGGGAACAAACATGATTATGATGGAAACACCCCAAGTTAAACATTATAAACCACAAAACAAACAAGGCCTTAGTGTTTTAGAACTTGTACTTTATGACATACCAGATTTTTCATAAGAAATTGTTGTCTCTATCTCCATCTATTGACTTATTTAAACTGGGTGAACTAACAAGTTCCAACTTCTTTCAGCCTCTTTTTCAAGCAGGAAATGGAGCTTTCTTTGATAGGGCTTCAGAATGCTGGAAAAACTTCTCTAGTAAATGTCATTGCTGTAAGTATATAGCTCTAGATGAAGCCTAGGGTCTCTCCCCTTCCTTTATATTATTTTCCATATGTGTTATATGATTTTTTTGAATCTAATGTCTTTTATATGTTTTTACCTCACTTGATTTCGTTCTTAGACCGGTGGTTATAGTGAAGACATGATACCAACGGTGAGTTCATCTTATATGATCTTTTTCATTTGAGCAACAGTACCTACTTTCAAATTTCTCTTGTTTAACTTTGATAATGAAAGAAATCAATTGTTGTTTTAATTAGGTGGGATTCAATATGCGGAAGGTTACTAAAGGAAATGTCACCATAAAGTTGTGGGACCTTGGAGGTCAACCAAGATTCCGCAGTATGTGGGAGAGATATTGTCGCGCTGTATCTGCTATAGTGTATGTGCCTCTTTTCTTGCTCAATTTTTATTACTCCCTCTGCCCGATATCATGTTTTTACTTGCCTTTTTTGTTTGTCACAAAATAATGTTACCTTTCCTTACATGTTGGTCATATAAATCTCAACCAAATAGTGTTCACTTTCTTCGGTGCCAAATTGTCCATATAAATTAAATTTGAATGCTCCATGTTTCCTAAAAAGAATCTTTTGAAAAGTTCTTTTTATCCCAAAAGAGTTGCATAAGAATAGAGCAGATTTTTATATTTAACATTAACATAGATATTTTAAAATGAAGTATCCCAAACAAGTTAAATAGCTCAAATTTAGTTGATCCAACAAATAAATTTCAAAGTATAGCTAGAATTGATGGTTTCCAAAAGTGTTATCTTACGAAAATAAAAAGTCTACTTGAAATCTTGAATGAAACATGACTCTTTCCCTGGGGGATGGAGGGGGGTATTATATAGTGAAAAGAATCCATGTTTGGGCTCTTGACATTGCAGAAAATTACTCTGGGGTACCGGTAATAACTTCAAGGTCCCACATTATCTGAAATATACCCCAGAGTACCTTCGATTTTGTGGTTAGAATATTTGGGCCCCACATCATCTAAAATATACTTGGGGGTCCTTAAAATTTGTGATAATGTACTCCGAGGGTAAATTAGAGAAAAATATTTTTCGGTTGATTGTTCGCTTGGAATAATTTTAAATTGACTGCCATGTAGGCATGCCCGACATGGTCATTACTCGTGGTTAAAAATTGGTATGCTCACCTACTTGTTTGCTGCAGATATGTTGTAGATGCTGCTGATCCGGATAACCTCAGCACTTCAAAGAGCGAACTCCATGACCTCCTGAGCAAGCCATCTTTAAGTAAAATCCCACTGCTCGTTTTGGGAAACAAGATCGACAAACAGGGGGCTCTGTCCAAGCAAGCTTTGACTGACCAGATGTAAGTGTAGGGTGGAAACAACTCATTCTAGTAACCCTCTTCCTCTACTTCACTCAGAGGGTGTTTGGGTGTCCTAATATTTCAAAAGAAAAGTTGATTATTTTGCCAACATAATTTCTAAGCATTTCAGCTTCTGCCTCTTCATCTCTGGAAAAACCATCAAAAACCAGACATTCCCAAACATTCCAAACTGCATCTATCCAAATCAAAAGTCGAGGATCTCAGTCCGAAACACCCTATATAAATATCTTGTCTTGTTTCAATAATGAAATATGGGTTTTCGCATGGGGCTAAATAAACCTCCTCTTTTCTGATTCTCTACAGGGACTTGGCATCCATATCTGACAGAGAGGTCTGCTGCCATATTATCTCTTGCAAGAACTCCACCAATATCGACTCTGTCATCGATTGGCTCATCAAGCATTCCAAGTCTAAGAGCTGAAGATGAGTTTCCCCGATTTCCTAATCGTGTGTGTGTGTGTGTTCCATTTCAAAGAGACGCCTCGGGTTATATCGTGCCTTCTTTCTTTCATTGCTATGTGATGGCGGTGTATATTATCATTATTATTATTATTATTCTTTTGTTAACTGAGAGAGTTTTAACTATTTTTCTGTTTCACGGATGTGTATTGTCTGCCTGTTTAAACATGTTTAATTGAAAACATTTTCCTTTTTTTTTTGTTTCCTATAATAATTAATCAACACTTGTATGCTAGCTTCCAAGTATATTTGGCCCGGTTGTTTTTAGGTTTCTATATTCCAATGGAAAAACAGCATATGTTTCAAAATACTTCTCTTTTTCCTAAACAAATTCCAACAATTTTTCTAACACTTTTCTTAGTTTTCATGAATTCATGTTGTAGACTTGTGGCATGATATAGTGCATTACATTCTGGGGGTGTTTCTTGAACAGTTATTTTGCTTTTAAAAAAGAAATGTTTTGAAAGCCAGATCAAATGCTGACTCGGACGAAAGAGTGAGCCAAAGGTTAATCTAGTCGAACCGGTCAGTCCAGGTCAATGACTCGGTTAACTACATTAAAAATAAAAATATTTCATCATTTCTAGATATCTTTAATAAACTTATTTTAATGTGTTCTTTTACTAATCCATCTAGTTTTCAATGTCGATATGTCTATACTTTTTTAAACTTTCTATTTCTTATTTCTATTATCTTGTAATGGAGCACTATTAAAGTTTCACATTAAGTGATTAATTACTATGGAGTAGATAAGAAAAACAAATTGTATTACTCCTGCTATCTTGGATTAATCATCCAATTTGATTTCACGGAGCTCAAGAAAATATTGGAAAAGCAAAAAAGTGAGTTTTTGAAATTTGATTAGAGAAGAGAAAAATTGTAAACGACATATTTTGGAATGGCCTAAAAGAGAAAGTGAGACGATTAATTTAGCACGAATGGAGTATATAAAAATAATAGTAAAGATTACTTGATTTTTAAAGATGCAGTATTTTTTTGTTATAATTTATTCATGATTCGTATTTGTTTTTAGATAAATAATAATAATACTCCTTAATGTTCATTTCTTTTTTCGTGGTTTTTAACTTTTTATAGTTAGCAATTTTTTTTTAATTTTTACTTTGTATAAGAGTAGATGACACTAATTTGTAGGTACAACTATTCATATTTATTTTAAGATAAAACATAAATAATGTTCTTTCTTTAATTTAGATGTAAACATACGAACTAGCTCAGCCACCGGGTTCAAAAGGTTTAATCTGGCTTTTTAAGAAAAACGGGTGCCATCATTGAACCGAACCAAAATGCATCTAAGTCAGGGTCCGATCAATCGAACCATCCAGTCTGGTTCTAAAAACATGGGAAAAATAAACCAACTATGGGTAAGAAATGGAAACTATCTGGTTTGATTTAGTGAAGCATTTAGTGTGCATCATCCATCAGAACTCAGTTCGCGCTCACCAACGGATGGACTTAGAGCTTGTTCTCTTCAATTTATCTCATTGGTTTTGATCTTATATGATTGTTGTACTTAAAGTTATATGTGATCTGATTCCAATAAGAATTAATAATAAATAAAAAGGATAAATCGAAGAGAACAAGCTCTTTCACCCTCTTCAATTCCTAATAACCTACTGACATGAAAATGCAGAGACTGTTTGAATGGATGACTGATCTTGAGGAAGAAGAAGACATTAAAGCCTGTTAATGGCAACTTATACATTCAACATTGGCTAATGCTCCATATTAATCAATATAAACATCATCCCTGCACAATACACTTCAGTTCTCCGTATACGCAAAAAAAAAAAACCAGATTTACAATATTATCCACAAAGTTTGCTGAGGTTGCAAATTACTAGACATGGATGGTGGTCTGAAAGTTCAAAGCCTTACTTGCTGCTTCAGCAAAACAATGTGCCGCTTCAGCCTCAGCCTCGGCTTCCTCTGCTTCCAGTGCTGCCCGTTCAGCCTCTGCAATGGCAGCTTCAGCTTCTGCAACTGCTTGCGCTGCAGCAATGGCCGCCTCTTGTGCATTCATACTCCTCATTTTCTCCAGCTCGGCATCAATCTGTGCTTTGGTCAAAATTCTTATTCCATTACTACTTTCTGGTTTTGGAGAAGGAAGTGTCACCTGCTTTTCCCCCATAACCATTGGAGGAGAAGGCTCCCCCTTTACATCTGTCGACATCCCACTTGGTGCGATCCTGTAAAAATGCTTCACCTGGTAAAAAAAACTCATATTATCAATATTCTATATCAGAGAGAGAGAGAGATAGAGAGAGATTAATTTGCTTGTTTCATTTGAAGTTTAACTGCAACAACCTTTATTAGCCTTCTTCTTTCTGTTAAGTCCTTCAAATTTGCAGCCAATTGCCTCTCCAGGTTTGGAGATGCCTTGTAGTTCTCCTAAAGAAAGAGATTAAGACAATGCGATTTGAGGTGAATGCGGATGATTAACTGATACAGGCATTGGACATGAAGGGGGTAGATGTATATCGTATTTCGGCTTAATAGTCAGATTTTTCATCAAACACTTTACCAGACAAAGATTTGTACCTTCATTTTAGATATGATTGTTTTAAATTTAGGTAATAAATAAATTTTACATTTTTTAGATAAGTAAGCAAATTTGGCCCCAATTTCAGGCCTTTCAACAGATCCAACCATCTCAGGTCTTACCAAGAAGGTTTTAAGTGTTACATCTACAAGAAAATAATGGATTAAACAGACTTTATTTCCTCCGTACAGGGCACAGGAATGCCAGCAATTTGAAGGAGAAAAAAAAAGTCATTAAAAGATACATAAGCGATACAATTGTCATCTCAACCCCAGCCGAATGCATGTCCCAAAAACGTAGAGTAAAACAAGAAGTGCATGCAGCAGGATTAATCCATGTAAATAAAATAAATAGGCAGGGAAAATAGCAAATGTAATAGTGTTTAGCAAGCATTGCCAGTTAACTAGCTTGCATGAAGAAACTACCTCAATGTACGTGCAAATTACATTTCTATTTAAATAAAACATTGTGTCATTTGCGCCGTAGAGTAAAACAAGAAGTGCATGCAGCAGGATTAATCCATGTAAATAAAATAAATAGGCAGGGAAAATAGCAAATGTAATAGTGTTTAGCAAGCATTGCCAGTTAACTAGCTTGCATGAAGAAACTACCTCAATGTACGTGCAAATTACATTTCTACTAGATCCACGGGGTTCCTTCAGCTTGGCAATAGCCTCCATTATTACTTCGTCCAAGCTGTATTCGAATAGTAATAAATAAGAATTACAGAGAATGGAGAGTTCATTGAAAAATGACACGCTCGTGAAAATTAAATAGCATGACAGTGTGCACCATCACGTGAAGATGAGGAAGTCAGAATAACCTTGTAATTGGCTTCTTAGAACTATCATCAATACATGTTCCACTAACTGTTGCAAGGGGCTTCTCATCAAGAATATCCATATCATTCTCAGCTATAGTGGTAAGCGCCATAGATTCTTCATCATCATGCTTGGATTGAGTGCTTTTACAGACAATCTTACCCCGCTGCCTAGACCCCCAACCATTTGCCATGACATGGAGATTTCTCCATTTATCCTGTCCAGTTCTCCCGTTAAGCACATGAGAAATATTCTCCATTGCCAAAACAAACTGAAAATAAAATCTCTCTTCAGATGAGGCATGTAGATGCCAAATGTTTATGTGTTTATTACCTTGAGGTCCACATTAGACCGAGAACGCAAGATTGGAGCAAAGTCTGGATCTTTGAGTATGGTGCTCCATTTTCCCATCCCATACTTAGCCACACCAGCTTTAAGTGCAGCTTCTTCACCTGATGTCCACTTAAGCTTTGGTGCACCCATTGGTTTGATGTCTCTCTTCTACAAATTCTAAACAAGTTCAGCTCTCTCACACATGACACACAAACTGTAAGATCCAAGAACCAAAATTAGACAACACAAACACCATTCACATTTGACCTCTTTCTTCTGTTAAATCATCAGGGTGCAAAATGTAACACTCCGAGCATCCCAAAAATAAGTTCCTGTTTCGACTTTTGCAGCAAAATGTAGTGAAATTTGAACACATGTTGCATTAACAATCCATAGAGTTGGAGTTATAATTTGAACTTAATACCATTTTATATCATGGATATTGCCACTACAAAGTATTTACACTCAAACAAATGACACAATGTTTTATAAAGAATGGTGGCATTAATAAATTTTGGAGTAATGTTCAACTATATTGGACTAGTTATATACGAGTAATTGTTAATATCAATGGCAAAAATAGTTGGTAAAAGTGCACCCAATGAGTAATTTAAATAATTTACTATTAGGTTGTTCTAACCAAACCAAGCAATTGAAAAGAGAATTGGCTGATGTTTATTCATTTGCTAATCAACGACAACTACCCTGTTGAGCTATGAAGGTGCACTAATGGCTAATTTCATCCGTCCACTCTAATTAAACGTAACCCTAATCAATCGCAACTCGCTGGATTAATCTGAAGGTTTATACTACGAGCACAGATGCTTCAAACCTGGAAAGAAATGGAGTGGAGGACAGGTCTATGACAGTCCAAGCGGCGTGTGGTTGACCGGATGAGATGTCAAAGGACTCGGATGTGGCCAGGGTACGTCAGAATACGACGACGGGCGGAATAGGGTGCGGATAGTTCTTTTCAGGCAAACGATAGATGCACAGAGACGGAATGCAGGCGTAGGGGCTGTGGTTTGGTAGAAGTCGGCATTGTAGAATGCGGCGGCGGTGGCAGCGGAGGCGAGTTGATGGGCTTTGGGACTTTTTCTACACAAGGGTGCAATTGTGCAAATGAAAGACGAACTATGAACTATGAAGACATCTCTTCTTTTTTTTTTTTTTTGTGAAAATCTTTTCACATAAATTTTTTTTATTTAAAAAAATGCTTATTTAAATAGTAAAAAAAGTTTTTATTTTATTCATATCTAATTTCGTAGTGAACCTTAAGTCTATCATAGAAATTTGTCATCACAGAATGAAAACCTGTCTAACTAAAGTATGAGCAGTAATGCTCAAATTTCCCCTCACAAATTAAACGACATATTCTAGAAATTATTCATACTCAAAATACGAATGATGAATAGACCTCGGGTAAGAAGAACAAACACAACGGTTTTTTTGTTTGAGCGCTCGAACCAAATTTTCTCAGATCAGAAGATCTCCACATCTTGCACACCTAGAGATCGACTTAAGTTATGCCAAAGCTTCCATGCATGCAAATGCTTCCGCCATCAAAAGATATTGGTTACTTCGTACAATATAAATTTAATATAACTTGATTAATTTAAAACTATACTCCATATGTCTTACAGCTTTCTTTTTCCGATTACTATTTACACAATCAAATTTTAATCTACAGTTTAATTTTTAAATTTTGTACTTATAACTTCACAAATTAAAATGGAAAGAAAAATTTATAACAAAGAAAGTATTATGTACTCGGTACTCATTATTAATGGTCAAAGTATAGCAATTTGACTAAATAGTCAAACTATAACAATTTTAGCTAGGACAAAATAAGTAAAATTTTAAGACAACAGATTAAAATAAGTGAACTTATGAAATGGTGTATAGACTTCACTTAGTTTGTGTTCTTTTGAGCTGGAAAAATTAACTTTCAATTTTTTTAACTTGTTCCAACAACAACATAAAAATGTATTTATATATGATGAATATATAAGAGTAAATTCTATAATTAGTCCTTTATAACAGAGTGGTTTTCCTATTTAGTCATCTATTATTAAATATTATCCCAGTGGTCCTTTTTTATGGGTATCTTTCCACAAATAGTCCTTTTTTGATCTTCTATCATGTTGGTGTTAATTTGAGGGTAAAAGTGTAATTTCACAATGATAATATATCTTTTTTGTCATACACAATTCTAAAGGTTGTTCCGTTTGCGTCGTTTGTGAATTACAGTCGCTTTTTACTACAATTATAGTCTACAAATGTGGTCTTTCATCAGAATCCTAGCCCACAATCATAGTCATTATTTTTGTCTTATCCGCTTAACCAATATCAGAACACGTCACTAGACATAATGTTGATGTCAAATTATACTTTTAGCATTTAAATTGACGCCAACACGGTAGAAGATCAAAAAAGGACCATTTGTGGAAAGGTACCCTTAACAAAAGGACTACGGGGGTAACATTTGATAAAAGAGGGTTAAATATGGAAACCCCCCTGTAATAAAGGACCAATTATGGAATTTACTCAAATATAATAATACAATAAATCTATATTTATAATATATCATCTCAAACACAAACACTATCAAACAAAACGTAAATTTGACAAAACAAAGAAGTACCCGCGGGTGATTGCATAGTGCGGAACTGTGGTGGCCTTGAAGTCATGGCTTCGAACCAACCAACTACTCGAAAACTTTCGGTCTTAATCCACAAATCCAGTGGAACTGATTAGTCGGATTTCAACAATGATGAGTCCAGAACACCTATGAAGTGATTAGTCGGATTAAAACATAAGTCATTTCTCCAATGTAGAACTTAAATTTTTTTATTTTCTAAATAGGACTTAATAATGACTAACAAGAAGAATAATGGTCAAGTGATGTTGGACATTTAGTTGAATAATGACTAATAGATAATGACCAATGATCTTACATTGGGGAAATAAAACATAAGATCATATATTGAGAAAGTCATTATGTTTTAGTCCTATTTAAACAAATTTCTCTTTATAAAATTTATATACGTACCTACACAAAATAAAAATAAAATAAAATTTAAAAAACCAATTATCCGGACTAAAAAAAGGAAAGAATATTTTTTCATAAATATCGATCAGTAATAATACCGAGTAGTAATAATTAAGAATGAGATTCTGATATGCTTACAAAAATGAAAAATCTACGGGATTTTCTTTTAATTCTTCTACTTTCTATTTATACTCATTTACCAATATAGTAACAATGCAGCAAAAACCCCATAGGAAAGAAGAAAAAGAGACCGCCGCCGCCATGGAAAGAATTAGCAAGACGAAGAAAACTCAAGGGCGCCGGAAAATCGACATAATAAAGATAGACAACGTCAACCACCGGCACGTGGCGTTCTCGAAGCGGCGCATCGGGCTCTTCAACAAGGCCAGCGAGCTCTGCATCCTGTGCGGCACCCACGTCGCCGCCATCGTCGAGTCATACGGCGGAAAGCGCGTCTTCACGTTCGGCCACCCCAGCGCCGACGCCGTCATCGAGCATTACCTCTCCGGCGGCGGCGGCGCGGGGCTCCACGACCGGGAGGACGATCCGGTCGTGAAGCGGAGCGAGCAGCTCTACCAGCAGGCGTGGCGGGAGTTGGAGAAGGAGAAGGAGAAGGGGGTGGTGGTGGAGGAGCGGAAATGGGAGGGCGGCGGCTGCGGGGCCCACTGGTGGGACATGCCGATTGACGGTATGGACGTGAAGGAACTGGAGGAGTACACTGCGGCGCTGGAGGAACTGAAGAAGAAGGTGGCGCTTAGGGTTGGTGAGTTGGAGACGGCGGCGATGATGACCAAGAAGGCCGCCGCCGCCGCGTTCTGCTGCGGGAGTAGCTCACCGCCTCCTCTATTGGAGTATCATGACTATCATCACGCCGGTTAATTTTTTTGATTAGCATCACTCCATCATTTTTGCTTAATTTTTTTGAGTTAGTCTAACACTTGTTTTCTCAAAATTGCATCAAATAATTAATTACTTTGTCTTCCATTGATTTGTCTTCTTCAGACTGTGAAACCGTTTAATCGAGTTAAATGAGTCATACATAAAATTGTGAAATTTGCACTAAATAGGACTAAAACATAAGTCATTTCCTAATATAGGACTTAAATTTTTTTATTCCCTAAATAGGACTTAATAATGACTAGTGAGAAGAATAATGTCCAAGTGATGCTGGACATTTAGTTGCATATAATGACTAATAGAAAATGACCAATGGTCCTACATTGGGAAATAAAAACATATGGTCCTATATTGAGAAAGTCATTATGTTTTAGTCTTATTTAGTTAATTACCATTTTATTATTATAAATAGAATCATGAATTTGAGTACTTGAGAGAGAATAAGTCAGCACAAACAATGTATATTACGGAGTAGTATAAAAATTAAAAATTATATTTATCTTATATTAAAATTTTGATTTCATTGCTTTAAAATGCAATGTAAATGTAGAGTAATTGATGATTAAAATTTATCAAGTTTGGTTTGAAAAAATATTTGGGCTGCTCCTCTATTTCACACTACATATATATAGCTATGATTCAACGATAAACTTTCTTAAATTAAAGATAGTTCTTGATCTGGTTTTTTGGGTGTGAATTTTATATTCATGGCATGGAAATTAATGGTGTATGGATATTATGTTCACTTTATTTTAAGGCTAAAGTGAAGGAGAAAATGAAGGTGTAGGGAAACATTATATTGGTATTACAAAGAGATTTTAATTTGGGTTATTGATATTTGCACTCCAACAATTACTAATGGCACTCTACCTTTCTCCAAACTAGAGCTGTAAACGGATAGCCGAAAATCCGATTACCGTCCGCATCCGTATCCGTTTAAAGAGAAAATATCCGCATCCGTTTTGAATGGATATTATCCGTATCCGATTAAGGATATCCGATTACTAAACGGATACGGATTTGGTAATTGTATATCCGATCCGTTTAAAATCCGATCCGCATATGCATCCGTTTAAATAACCGTTTATCCGAATATCCGATCCGTTATATATAGTTTTTCCTAATTTTTTATGTTTATATTTTGTTTTTCTATTGATATTTCAAAATATAAGACATTTTTAAATACAAAATAAATGTGTACACATAAAAATATATACAAACATATAAAAATATGTATATATATATGTGTTGTGTATTTTTTTTATCATATAAAGTTATTGTAGAATATCAGAAATCATGAAAACAAAGAAAATAATTATCTCATAACAAATTATAGTTGATTTAATAATAGTTTGACTTTAATCTAATTTAAAAATAAAGTATTTTTTAATTTGATTTTAAAAATTGGAAACGGATACGGATATATCCGATATCCGACCGATATCCGACGGATGCGGATACGGTTTTGATTTTCAGTATCCGTCAAGATCCGTATCCGAATTCGATATCCGACAAAAATAAACGATGCGGATTTGGTAATGGCACATCCGATCCGATTAATATCCGTTTACACCCTACTCCAAACCAACTAAAGTGACAATCAAATCCTTTGACATTATTAATTCCACCAATTTTTTTCTTCATTTTCTATTTTTCTCCGCTTTAATGTTTTTAATTACTTTTCTTTAATCTTTTGATTGCTTTTTATTTTTTAAAAATACTCCCTCAGCCCCGAAAAAATTTTAGGTTATGGTTTATACTCTCTCTGTTCTCAAAAGCATTTCCTCTTTTGAATGCGACGTCAATGATAAAAATATCACGTACTCCCTCTGAGTCCCTCCGTCCCGTAGTATTCGTCCAGTTTTGACTTTTGGAACTGTTCATCTAAGCACTTTGACTCATCAAATTCTCTCAATGTGTAAGCCTAAATATAGTCATGTGTGATCTTGTTTGATTTGTCTTAACATATAGATTATTAAGATATAATTTCTATAATTTTTTAATATACAAATTACAAGATAAAATGGATTAAAGAAGTGCATTGGATGGTGTGTAAAAATGAAAGTGGACAAAAATACTCTGGGACGGAGGTAAAAATTGATAATGAAATCAAAATCATGTCATTGACTTCACCCAACAATATTTAATTGAAAAAAATACCAAAATAGAGTACAACATGAAAAAAATCCAAAAAAAAGTTCTATAGTTTTTATCTTCAAAATATGAGTTACAATACCAATAGTGTCAACATATAATACCAAAAAAAATTGTGAAATACCAATATACAGTGCCACAATATCACCTAGCAAACTCTTATTTTGAAGATAAAACATAAAACTCTTATTCTAAGAATTATAGTTTTGTTATACTCCTATTTGGAGTGATTTCTTATACTTTTTTAGAAATATTTTTTGTGATGTTATCTTATACTCCCTCCGTTCCACAAAACTCTTCCACTTTCGTTTTTTTGAATTCCCTAAAACACTTCCACTTTCTATTAAAAAACCACTTTTACTCTTACTTTTTCATACCCTACCTATCACATCATACTTTTTCACTAATAGCCAAACTATCACATCTTACTTTTACCCATCACAGCAGGAGCAAAATTGGAAAGTCAACCAAAATTTCAATTTCCTTATTTTTACCAAAAGTCAAAAATGGAAGGGTTTAAAAGAACGGAGGGAGTAGTAGACATTACAAAAAGTTACATCACATTTTTTCTATAGATTTTTTTATGTTTTAGATATGTCACTTTTTTTTGTAAATAATGTTACGTCGTTATTCAAATTAAGTTAATGGAAAGCAACTTCAATAAAAGACATGAGAGTTTTTCTTAAGAACCAAAATTTATCAAAAACCTATCAATAAATAACTAATAAAAAAGAATAGAAAAGTTAAAAAGCAAGAAAACAGCAAGATAATAAAAAAGAAAAAGGATGACAATGAGTAAATATTAAAGAAGGCTAAAAGGACATACTTGTCATTTTAGAGATTTTTAGAAATAGTTCGAGTGCTATTAACAAGTGTTGGAGTGCAAATAACAATGGCCTTTAATTTGGCTAATGGTTAATACATACTCCATATAAAGTTAATATTTTGGCGTAAATTGGGGTGAGTATTTCAAAATGATTTTTTAGTGATTAAAATATAAATAAGGTAATGATTTTTAATACTCTGTAACAACTACGAGTAAATAATACGGAGTACCTCGTAATCATCTAATTTATAAATAAAAAGATTTTATTAGAATTAAACAAAATAATGTTTATTTAAGGTAAAATTTAATACATGAGGTATCTTGAAGTAAATTTTTTGATGTTTGATTGGTCAAAGTAACAAAACTTTGAATCTTACGGCCAAATAAACTTTATGGACAAAATGTATCATCGTAGTACATTATCATGAATTTTAGAACTACCAGAGTATATTTCTAATAATGTAAAATTAGAGAGTTCTTATAAAAAAATTGAAGATAACTCAAAACTAATTTTCTTCATTTTTTAAATGAAGATTAGATAGCTAAAGTTTTAAACGAGGCCACGAGGAGAGCCTATATTGTACATCGACTAGAGCTACGTAAATCTAGCAAACATTCATTTCAAACCAACGTAAGTTTATTCTGAAGCAATGTAATATTCATTCCAAACATGCTCAGTATAGTATATTCAGGACATGTTTGGGAATGACGTTAGCGATTAGCGTTAGCGTTTTGAAAAGGTTATCTACGGGCAGCGTTTAGCGTTAGCGTTTTCAAAGTAATCTGCACCATTAAAATTTTATCCAAAACGCTAACGTTAATCTCTAACGTTATTCCCAAACAGGTCCTCATTCTAAAATAACATATTATTCATCCTGAAACCACTTAAATTCATTCTAAAACATTTTTTTAATTGCAAATTTACCATGTTTTACGGTACATCTGGTTTATCTTGTTGTACGGGTGCCCCATTTCCTTCTTTCAGATTTTTAGGCCCTCCGGTTCCACCATCTAGTTCCTTCTCGTTCCTGTTCGGTTGCAGCTCCTGTGGGCGCTTCCGATTTCGTTGCAGATCCGCTCGTCGCTGCTCCACGTAGACGCCGCCCTCCACCGCCCGACGTCTGTGAGTCTATTTTCCACTGTCCGTTTTATATTCGGAGTATAATATACGGAGTAGAACAATATGAAATTGATGAAAGTTTTTTCTATGGGTTTCCTATCCTAGATTGGTTTTCATTTTCGTAGAAGCTAAAATTTATGGATTTGCCAACAAATGTAATACGATCTATGGATTAAACATTAAAAAGTTAACCAAATTTGTAAAAGTTAGGCTTTCAGATTCCGTTGGCTCAAATGCTCTCAATTATCTGAAGATTGTGGACACTTTTCACCACAAATTATAAGTAACTAAAAAGCTTTCACACACATTCAAATTCATTTTTATTACTCCCAAGTACTAGTATTAGTTTACTTGGAATATAAGAGTTCCTCTAGGATTTCCATATAAATTCAATTTAACTTGGAATTCAATTTAATAATCACCCTATATCTGTTTCCCAATGACCTCTAAGCTCTGGGAAATGGCTAGCATCCTACAACGAGTAGCGAGGCATTCGTGTCACAACTATCAGCTCAACCAGGCTTCACTATCGATGGCATTCTCTGCATCCGCCAACTCACTGGTAGAGATCCAACGTGGAGAGGTTGGGATGGTTTCTGGTATACCCCAAGAACATCTTCGCAGGAGGGTATGGAAACCCCTTTTATTTTTCTTTGCATACTTATATAGCTATTTAAATCTTATCTGAAACGAATATCTGGTCTGGTAGGTTTCATTGTTGAATGTATATTTTTAGTTGATTCAATCAAGGGCTTTTCTCGTGCATATTTGCTTCAACTGTTTGCAGTTTTGTTCTACTACTAGACTAGAGTTGTTCTTAACTGATTATTGACTCACATCTCATTAAGTGAAAATTAAAGTATTAGTTCACAAGTTGTGAGTTTTACCAAATCTGACTAGATGATCTGGGTATATTACATTTTTAACTTAAAACCTAATATGGAGTATGATTTTCTTTTTTAGCTACTTTATTTTGAACTCTTCCTGCATACCTCTACCTCCATATTAGTATCTTGCCATACAATACAATGCTAATGATGCTAGGAAATGAAATTGTAAAGTTCTCTGCTTTTGACAGTTCTTTTAAAAAAAAACAAAACAAAAAATGTTCACTGAAAACAAAAATGTCATCATTTGTTCGTATTTATCAGGTTGTTATTTTCTCACCTGCCCGGACTGCTACTCAACAAGGATCGGGTAAAGTTGGAAAATGGAAAATCAACTTTTTATCAGTTCAAAAGTATGATCCATTTTTACTCAAAACCACTACTCTACATTCTAAGAGCTGTAAACACAAGTAAGAAAAATTTATATTGCTAAGATCCATGTAGATGGGAAAATCCATTGATGGGCTGGACTTCCACCGGTGACCCATATGCCAATGTTGGTGATGCTGGACTGAACTTTGAGAGTGAAGAAGCTGCAAAAGCTTTTGCCGAAAGACATGGATGGGAGTACACGGTACTGAATGCAGCTTTTCTGGTCATCCGTTAATTTGCTGTGTTTTAATGATTTTTAAGTAACTTCATTAAGCATGCTGAAAAAGCTATAGAAAGGATGGTATTTAAAATTGGTCTGACCTCATCATGAAGGCTTTTTATAAATTGACAACTATCTTCACAACTCACAAGATATTCAGTTACAGTTACATATTTGTCAATTTTTTTGCGACTGCTATGCTCTATGGATACAATGACCACGTGCGAGCGTATATTTATAGGACAACTATTTTTGGGACCACAAACTTCTTCAAACTATATGCTTAGTGTAATACTGCAATGAGATTCTCAAACATACTACCGGTAGTCTGGGTAACATCAAATTATGTGTGGTATCAATCTATCACCAGTTTCCCTTTTGTGCCATGAGATATTTCGCCCTTTCTTCGATAAGCTGTTAAGTTTTGGAACTTTATATAATGAATCTGTTTTGGTGTGAGTTAAGAAAACATACACTTCGTCTTCTCGGGACTTGTCAGCTCTTGTTGATTATAAGTTTTATAACAACAGACCTATTTTTATCATTGCAGGTGAAGAAACGCCACACACCGTTGTTAAAGGTAAGAAAAGTTTACCATTCATCTTGAGATGCATTGTTGCACACTTGCATGTAGTTTTTTATCCTACCTCTCATCTAACAGTTGCTTTTTATTCACTGCAGTGTAAATCCTATGCCGATAATTTCAAGTGGAAAGGCCCTCCCAAGGCAGAGGTTTGAATCAGCCGTCTCCGTTCACTGATGCACTGCTGAAGTCACTGGCACAAGTTGATTCGTGTTGCTTTGACTTTTGGGTTTTGGTGTTTTCTTTTTATCGTCCACCCCAAGTTGTTGTATTAATAAATCTAACTTACCAAAACCTTGTATTTGGACGCCTTGCATTGTGAATCAATCCTTTGGTTTGTCTACACAAAGCTTCAGTTAAAACAACATTTAACTATTTAAGGCCTTGTTTGCAATCACTTGGGCGGTTTTCTATGGTTTACAGTTTACAATACGGAGCATTATTGTGTTTTCAAAGCAAACCGGTGTTTATCTTACCTATCTACTCCGGGTATTTCTCAATTTATATGTTTGGCTTGATTTTTTGGTTCAAGTCGAATAAATTTAGATCATTCATTAATTAAAAACCATACAACATTTCAATACAAAAGTCGATTTCAATTTGATAGAAAAGAGTTAAATTAGACAAGTATAATACAAGTATTACAAAAATGGTACATTCAATGGTTCCATGCTATAGCCCATATATGATTACTTTCTTTGTCCCAGAAATATGTTATTGTTTTGATTTGATTCAGCTTTTTGACCTAGTGCATAAATATACTGTTGAAAAACAATACAGTTGTGCTGGGACAAGAAGTAGACTGCAACTATGTTTACAACAAAACTGAGAAAAAAAAATGCCAGTTTCAAATAAAAGAGTCAAAACCAATGGTACCATCTCCGCTGCCCATCAGTTGTGGACTTCTTTTTGGTTGCCAAAGTAATCCGGTCGGCGCGAGAGACAGCCCATCTACCAAACTCTGGGGAACTAACAAGCTCTTCCAATGCCTTCTTCGTTACCCGTTGCGTGAGATTTTCCCACTCCTCCTTGGAGACTTTCCTCCCCTCAGGAGTCGCGTGGAACGAAGAGTAGAATGTGTCTGATTCTGACAGAGGCCTCCTCGGCGACCTGCTGCTTGAACCACCTGTTTGATCCGCGTAACATTTGGTTGGTCACAAAATGGATGATGTTATTTGAATGTTTTCTTTTAGAAATAATACCAAACAGACCCTTGGTCCTTGTCCAATTAGCTGAAAAGATACAGTACATAGTTTTTGTCACAAATGAAATGCAAGCAAACAAACCTTGGAATGCAGCACTTCCTCGACGTCTGTCAGGAGTCCTGGGATGATATGGCTCGTTGTGTGGTTGAGCAGACAGATCACAAAGTATTCCACAAATGTTCGCGATCATTCTATATGATTTCCTACACATGTTTCAGAAGAAGTTTTTGAAAAAAAACATGCCAAGGAAGAAGAAATAGAAGAAAAGAAATCACACAAAGGGTGAAAGGTGATCTTTTGCACCGAGCAACTCACTTGTATATCATGCGCACGAATTTGGGATGGAGAGTTTTTCTCATTACTGATGAAACAAGAATTCCACATGCCAGTGCCTCAGCCGCCAATAAAGCATCTGAGGTACTCTGAACCCTCCCAAACAAATGCCATTTACAGTTAAAAACTTGCCTCAAAACTTTGTAGGATGACACGGAATATTATAATAAATTGAAACCTGAAGAATCATAGCAGAGGCCACAATCCGTATCGACCAAGCAATAAAATGAGACACTCCAATATCAATTGATCCATCATCATTGAGTACAAGTTTCCGAACCACCCAAAATCCTAACCAAGCTCCAGCAATTGCAAGGAAAAGGAGCAGAAATATGGCTAACTGAGAATTGAATGTGCCCATTGGGTAAACAAGGCCACGTTACTGAAAGAAAAAAAACTTCGAACTGGGACCGATCAACTAAAAATCAGAAAACTTACATACAGGGTTGTACATGTCTTCACCAATACCAATCTCTGCAAGAGCCATTCGCAATAGTCTAGGCACATAGCGAAGTAAGAAGGAGCCCAAACCGATCTGAATGGAGAAAAAAACTCAGATTGCAGCACAATTTTGGGTATATAACATCAGTTGGGAAGACAATAACTTAATAGATCTGTTGTAAATAAACACGGAGTAAGTAAATAAAAGATACCCACAAAGGATGAGTAAATGAATATCGCCAATGAATTCTTTCTACCAGTTGGAAGAAGCTTCATTCCCTGCATTACATTTGACAAGTTTATCATCAGGGGAAAAAAACAAATCTTCAATCACTCTTTGATACTCCATACATACGATTCCAATATAAAAATCATTGTTTCCTTTTTTGCCTCACAATAAAATCCACTATTCTTTTTCGGAATGAAATGTGGAGTTGACATTTTTCTACAGCAACAAATTCAACAAAAAAAAACACAACAAGTTAGGCCTAGGGAAGGCACAATGCATGCACACCTTACCTTACCCCCCCCCCCCCTGGGGGGGGGGAATGTGTTCTTCTCAAAGGGATAGAATAGATGTAGAATGGCAAGAAAAGAAATTGAAACAAAAGATAAGAAAAAAATAAGAGAACTCCACAAAATGAAGGTTTATGTCTTTTCAAATAAATCTCCAATCACAAAATTCCAATTATCTTATAGTAAGTGTTTCACTTCTAGCCTAAGTTGCACGAAGAGGTGCACAGGTAATCAAATGAGGACAGAGTAAGGAACAAGAAAACAACACATTTTCATATTTTTACAAATGATTTGGATGTCAGGTGTCCCCAAGTACCCAAACCAGGATGCTTTGGTGATAAAAAACGGGACTTGTCTAAATAATCCGCGCAACTTAACCCCCCCCCCCACCACTACCACCACACACCCACACAATGAAATTTATATTTGGATGGAGGGGACATATTTTTATTTTCATCACAAAAAGTATTAAGTTGGGGAATCTCACAATTTTTATTGGATTATAAAATCAATTTAAATTGCCTTCCCTGCACAAAGATACTAAAATAAAGCACATAAAGATTATAGAGCTGAAAGTTAATCTGGTACCTGGAATAGGACCATTAATATCACAAGGAAAATTCCAACTACCATTGCACCCCCATAGTAGAACACTAGAGACTTGCTGAGAGAGGATGCAACTGCCATTAACAGTACTCCCAGTACCAAAAACACAATCCGATACAAAACAAATTCTGTAATAGAGATATTGAAATTATAGAGAGTTACAATGTGACACAAATGAGGAGACCAATTATACGATGAAATACAAACCTTCATGTAGAGACACCAGAAGTGTTTGTTTTGAAGAGCCCGGGACCCGGAAATCCAAAAACTTGTGATCAAAGAGTGACACTGATCTAACCAATGATCCCTTCGTTAGCCGAACCCATTGTCCTTGAGGGCACATCCCTATACCAAGGGATTGGTTCCTGCATTGTAGCAAGCACCAGTTCATTTTTCCTAAACTCCTTCATTTGAGGATGTATATCTTTGAACATGTAATCGGGCGTGAACATATTGGTTTCTAGTCAATTGATCATCATAGCTAACAAAAAATTTAACGGACTTACAGTTTGAGCATCCAAAAAACCCTTGTAGTCTTGCATCTACTCCCTCAGGTTTTAAAGACACTTCCTACTTTGTTTTTACGTGTAAAACCCCATCTTTTATTATTTCATTTATAAATTGGCATAGAAATAAAAAGTAAATCTTATATATTTAAAAACTACGTAAAAAAAATTTACAAAACAAGAATACTTTATGTTCTCAACAAGCTCACCTATGGAAACAGACCTCAACATTAGGTTGACGGCCACCTTGACTAACATATGAAATGTTGACTGTCACAGAATTGGCATATTTGTCAAGATTCTTAAGCCTTGGCAAGCCCCGTATTTGTACTCTGTCGCAGAGCACTTTGGTTCCAGGCTTAGTACCAGGAGAATTTTCCACCGGCAAAGCAGGAGAAAGCTGAAAACTGATCGACTGTGATGAAGCTGCAAGAAACATGGCAGCATAAACCTTAATAAGAGATAATAATGTGCCAGATCATATTCTGATAACCTATATGAAGAAACTATGATCCAGACAAGAATGGGGAAACAATGGAAAAGATTCATAAACACACAATTGTGGAAAAGAATAAACCCTAGAAATGATTCTTTACCTAAGGAAAGTTCATTGCTGGAGACGACAAGTGGCGAAGTTAAGATGGAGACTGCATAAAAGATGGTGTAGAATAGTAGAGCCGGCGAAGTAGCAGCGCCGGCGGCCATGTTTCTGCAATCAGAGTCGGAAGGATGAAATTGAACTGAATAAGACCGGGGGAGAGCACAAATTATACCCTTTACAGTTTTTCTTTTTAAACTCTTTACCTCCAATAGGCATCACGAATACTACCCTTGTTTTTAACTTTTTTTACCTATAATTAAACAAAACATATACTCCGTATTATTTCTTACCTTTTTTTCGTGGATAAGGAGAGAGTGAGGGATAAATAGGGTACACATTTAGTGTACTCCTACCATTTTTCTTTTTTGATATTTGATATCACTTATATTTAGTTTATTGTAAAAACAAATTTTAATGCTAAAACGTCAAAACTAAATAAATACTCAAAAATGGAACAAATATTAACTTTCTTCCCGTAGAAAGTATTAATTTTATTTTCAATTTAATTGATTTGATTATACATATAAAATTTAAAAATAAATTTTACATATTCAAAAACAACAAAAATTCTAAAAAATTAGAGTTAACGTAATTATATTATTTTATCAAATAAATAATAAAGAATAAATAATGTTAAGGAGGATGGAAGACTTAAATAGAAGTATTTAGAATGATAAAAATATAAAATAAGAGTAATAGTCTTTCTGTAAGAAGTTCACATTAGTAGTGTTTAAAAATACTAGCATCACTCCCGTGCGTTGTACGGGTCATACTTATACTAAATTAAGATCATTTCTGAAGGATACAATTTCTTATCTAATACTCCCTCCGTCTCTGAAACATCTCCCCCTTTCATTTTTTCTTTATCCCACAAACTCCTTCCTTTTTCTATTAAAAAACTACTTTTGCTCCTTATTTTTTCATACCATAGCTATCACATCATACTTTTTTACTAATAATCTATCTATCACATCTTACTTTTATCAATCACATCAAGGGTATTTTTGGAAATTCAACACCAAAATATCCCCCTTAATTTTCCTAAAAGTCAATAAGGAAACTTCTTTCGGGACGGAGGGAGTAGAATATATAAATATTTTATTATTTTAAGGTATAAAAGTTAATTGCTTTACAAATAACGAAAGACTTTTTTTATAAACTACAGTACTCGTATACGTAGTAATTTTTATATATCAAACTTTTAAAAATTTATTTATTTAAAGACTTCTTCATGATTTTCTACTCCGAAAGAATGAATCTTATTTAAGAACTCAAGAGAGTGTAAGTCATTCAAAATATCGTATTTTTCTATTTCCATGCATCTAATTTTTTCTGGGTAAGTTATCAATTAGTGGTTGATTGTTCAACATATAAAGGTATATATTATTCAATATGTTTCCATGTATTAAAGGCACACCTCTTAAAATGATATCTCCATAAAACGTTTGGGCTTGGATCTCTAAATGGAAATATTATTTAATTAAAAGCTTATTTGGTTAGAATTATTACACGATAATAATAACTAAGTAAGATAATATTATTACACATTATATTATTATTATTATTAATTAGTAATTTAGATATAAAATTGTGTAATTATGTTAATATCGTATATAAATGTGATTCCTTTTAAAGCTTTTTTTGTTGTACTTATTTAAAACTTATTTCCTTTTTTTCTCCTTTTCATCCGCAGTAAATATGGGCCGTAGATGCATAGATTGGAAAATATCAATGGCTCATAAGGCTTGGCAAATGGGCGGGAAAAAGCATGGGACATAATTCCCCTGCTTTTAAGAATAGGTTGATTGATTTGTTGTACTTATTCATCCACAGTAAATATGGGCCGTAGATGCATAGATTCGCAAATATCAATGGCTCATAAGGATTGGCAAATGGGCGGGAAAAAGCATGGGGCATAATTCCCCTGCTTTTAAGAATAGGTTGATTGATTTGTTGTACTTATTTAATACTTATTTCCTTTTTTTCTCCTTTTCATCCGCAGTAAATATGGGCCGTAGATGCATAGATTGGCAAATATCAATGGCTCATAAGGCTTGGCAAATTGGCGGGAAAAAGCATGGGGCATAATTCACCTGCTTTTAAGAATATGTTGATTTGGTATAGAGGATCGGGTCCATGATCTAAATCGATTTGATCCAAAAAATGAATATCTGATTTGATATTTAATTTTATCTTTCACATATTTCAGATCGGATATCCAAACAGTCAGATTGAATACAAACTGAAATATTAAGATTTTAGATATTCGTGAGCATCCGAAGTTCATGTTTTAAAAAATAAATATAAAAATAAAGCAGTTTTTTACTCTAGTCTTTTATCGATGCTTTATTTGTCAACTATGTTCATATATCTTTATAAAATTATGACTATGAAAACACTATCAAGATAAATATGACAATTAAAATACATTTGACTTCAAATTCAATACTATATTATGACCTCCACTATTTTAACAAAAAAATCATTCTCGTTATTGTTTACGAGTTTGATCAATTTTTTTAATTTAATTTATTTAATTGTAGGTATAAAATTTAAATATAAAATTTGTATATTCAAAAACTACATCAATAGTTCTATAAAATGAAAAGTGACAAAACTATATCATTTTATCAAATAACTAATGAAAATAGGTAAAAAATAATAATTAAAATTTTAATTAGAAAGAACGGGGGGAGTATTTTTATGAACAATGTTAGGGGTACACCAAATGTGTACCCCAAATGTACACCACCCTTTCTCCACCTCCTATTTTTATTTTATTTTTATTTATTTATTTTTTTGGAATTTATTGCCTTTTTTTGTGGACAAGGAGGAGGCGGGGATAAATGGTGTAGACTAGCATTTTTCTATTTTTATTTACCTACAAGGAAATCGTCATTGCCGCTACCTCCATTTTCCTCGGGCATTTCGCCCCCTCAATTTCTGTTCCGGGAGGAATACGGCATGACGTTGACATTCTGAAATTTTATCTGCTTGTTTCCGAGGAGAATTTCTGGTAATACCGATTTCGTGTTTGAATCGCATTCGAATTCCTCATACTTCGTGTGATCAGATATTTAATTGAATATTCTCGAGTGTTTTATATTAAACGATTCACTTGGATCGCGTCGTTTTCTGGATGAAAATCTGCAGCCGAGAATAGGATGAAGAAGGAGCTAGGGAATCTGGAGTTGATGAGAGGCGATTGCGGGTCAGATGATGATAAAAACGGGTCCGATTCGAAGGAAAGGAAAGGGAAGAGGCTGTGGAGGAAGGTGAAGTACCAGCTGGTGGAGTACCATTCATTGCCTGGGTATTTGAAGGATAACGAGTTTATTCTCGGCCATTACCGCTCTGAATGGCCCTTGAAGCAAGTCCTACTCAGCGTCTTCACAATTCACAACGAAACCCTCAATGTTTGGACGTAAGATTCCATATTCTCTGATTTTGTTCCCAGTTTTTATGTGAACATTGACTTTAGTGGCATAAAATTTGTGGTTTTCCCAGATATTCTTGAGTCTTTTTCTCCCAGGTACTTTTCACTATAGTCATTTATGATATTTAATGGTAGCTTGGTAAGATTCTCCGCGAGTCTATAGTCTTTAGATAATACAACAAGAACAACAATGGCAAACCCAGTAAAAACCCCATAGAAGACTTTACTCCTACTTGGTACCAAGTAGAGAGGTTATAAGAAAATGACAGAGAACATAGAAGAAATTTTAGATTAGACCATTGTTCTCCAACCAAATACGAGTTAACTTCCATACGACTGACTTAAGATACGTTAAATTTGTGGTTTTCCCAGAAATTATTGAGAATCATTTCTGACTTTGAATTGGGAAAAGAAAATGACAGAAAATTTACTCCAGAAACTTTTTGTTCCATATTTTTTAAAAAAGAGAGAAGATAGGGAATGGTGAGAAATGGAGTCATTACTTATCTGCTGATTGTCTCAACTCTCATCCAAACAAAGAGACTATTGCTTTTATCTCAATTTATTTGTTATTCAAACATATCATTAATCATTTGTTGGTTGCTGATATCTGATCTGCCGGTTTAACTTAAACTGATTTTCATAGTCACCAAACAAGAGCTTAAAGGTGCCACCGTATTTCATAGTCAAAGCATGCTTTTATGGATTTTTGCAGGCATTTGGTAGGGTTCTTTCTTTTCCTCGCATTGACCATATATACCGCAAAGAAGATTCCAGAGGTTGTAGACCTTCGCACACTACCAAATCTTCATGATGTTTTTAGAAAGGCTGCTCTGCATACCTCCCTGCCCAACATGGCTGATTTGCACAGACTTCGGGAAGAATTGAGTGCTGCATTTCCATCACTTCCCAATTGGCGTATTGTAGAACTTCTCACTAATTGTGTGCCAGAGCATTTTTCTAATATCAACTATACCGATGTCTGTAATCTGGTAATCCTCCCTCATTTCTTGATTGCCACTAACTATCTATTGAACCGTTGCATATATGTTATTCCCTTTTCCGTCTTGCTGAATAGTGATTATGTTACTTTCATGCATCAAAATCTCTCTTCTCTACCTTGGGGATCTGTATTATGAAAATGTTTTAATCTTCTAGATGAGCTGAATAGCTATAAAGTTTAGAACTTCAGCAATTGGGTATGGCAGAATATCTTTTCTTGCAAGGCAGTGTATGGTTCTTAATAATGATTTCTTCTTTATTCCCTTCTTTGTTAAGGAGTATTTGCTTACTGTCAGCATCCACTTACCAATTTCTTACTGATTCATTTCATAACTATAAACAGAACATGAAATACTGGGTTGTTGTTGTAAACGGAACATGAAAAACATCCCTATTTATTTCTGCATTCATTAGTTCAAGGAAAGAACCATATTTGGGTCCATGAGCTTGCACCGTTTACTTACCAGGCCCCTTAACTCCAATTATTTTATTGGTCTGGTTTAGCAAAACATGCAAGTCCAGAGGCTCAATATTGCCCAAACATGATCCCTCCCTACCCCCACCCCCACCCCCTTCTGTTTAGCACCAAAAGGTAGTTTTTTTTTTTTTTACTTTGTTAATTCCAAAGACATTGAGTTGATTAAATTGTCTCTATAAGGCTAGAACCATGCGATGTCCTCATTTACATTATGCTGGCTGATATATGTATACATTATTACAATTTTTAATAACTTGATTGGTGCAGAGTGGCATCAAGGAAGAATTGGCAAACATGATAGCCCCGGCAACAGTTAGGCCAATCACACGGTGGCCATTCTTTGCCTTCTTGGGTGGGGCCATGTTTTGCCTGCTAGCGAGCAGCACGTGTCACTTGCTGTCCTGCCACTCAGAGCGCATGTCCTACATCATGCTGCGCCTTGACTATGCCGGCATAGCTGCTCTCATCTCCTCCTCCTTCTACCCTCCGGTCTACTACTCCTTCATGTGCCACCCCTTCTTCTGCAACCTCTACCTCTCCCTCATCACCCTCCTTGGAATAGCGACCATCATCGTCTCCCTCCTCCCAGTTTTCCAAAGCCCAGAATACCGCTCCTTCAGGGCTGCCATGTTTTTCACCATGGGGGTTTCCGGCGCGGGCCCCATCCTGCACAAGCTCGTCCTGTATCACGACCAGCCCGAGGCGGTCCACACGACCAGGTACGAGGTTCTGATGGGCGCGCTTTACGGGATCGGTGCCCTGGTGTACGCGCTGCGTGTTCCGGAGCGGTGGATGCCCGGAAAGTTCGACATTGCCGGCCACAGTCACCAGCTGTTTCACGTGCTGGTGGTGGCGGGGGCTTATACACATTACCGCGCGGGACTGGTTTATCTCGGGTGGCGGGACCTACAAGGATGCTAGAGATTTTACTTGCAGGGTAAAAAGGTGGCTCTATGGTTAACATGTTAGAATTAAGCTAGGGGTACACCAACATGGGGTACCCCAAGTGTACACCAAGCCAACACAGATACACACAGACACAAAATGTCTGTGCAACACAGACATTCTGTGTCTGTGTGTGTCTGTGTTGGCTTGGTGTACACTTGGGGTACCCCATGTTGGTGTACCCCTAGCATTGCCCTAAGTGTTAATGTAAGAGAAATGATAGTTGTCTTTGTTGTCTAGTGTATAGTAGTACCATAAATGAGTAGGAAATGTTCCTATCTAAACCCGTTATGATTTATGGTATGTTTGGGAAACATGAATTTGAATTTCAAATTTGGATTTGGCTCAAATTATAAAGAAAACCCCCTAAATAGGAGTAAAAGATATGTCATATCCCAAAATAGGATCTCAAACTTAAACTCCCCTAAATAGGAGTCATTATTCTAATCTCTATTAAAAATATTTTACAACATAAATTCAATTAAAATAATCTTGTATTAATATATAGGTTGTACATAATTTTATTTAAATAATAGTCCAAATATATCAAATTTTAGTATGGATAAATGGCCGACCTTTGAGGCTGCTCTGGTGCATGTTGCCGAGAAGTTCTTGCAACTTCTTGCGCCGGAGGTTTTCGCTGCCGTCAAGAGTGTTGTTGGAGAACAACCTCTGATGACAAATTTTTCTCAGGTCTTGCCAGACCAGGAGGAAAATCAGGCTGGACAGGTTGTGGTCGTGAGCGGTCGTGACGTCGGGCACGAATCGGTCGGAGAACAGGGCGTCATGGGTGTGGAGGATCTCCTTCGCCATGTCGGCCGAGGAGACGATCACGGTCGATTTGCACCCGCATTACGGGGCCGTACTCCTCCGCGAGCTTTGCCAGTGTCTACTGCGGCTTGTGGAACAAGTCCGAGAGGTTGGAGATGAGGGTAAAAATGGAAGGCCCGGGTGGGAGTTTCTTTTGGTGTTTGGTTTTTGTGATGGTTCTTAGGAGTGAGTGGAGAGTGTATAGTGCCAAGAAGAGGAAGAGCACTCCACATGAGCTCATTGAATCCATTTTTCTCTCTCCTTCTACACATTCTAACATGTGTCCCAGTCGTGCCGCATGATTCGCATAGATTTGGTTTGACATTATGTCATTGTGTAACATTGTAACATTATATATGAGCATATATGACATTAGATATGGGCATCTATGTTATTATATATTATCATATGTGACATTACATAGTACCATGTTTGACATTATTATGTCTTTCTTTGACACTGTATTGACTGTGGATGTGGCACTGTGGCGACGATGGTGCAGATTGTGATGGTAGTGTTGTTGATAATGATATAGAGCAGTGATATTGTCGGTGGTGACGACGAAAAATCAAAGGCGTCAATGGTAGGTTTCGTTAGTAGCAGTGCGGCGGAGCAAATGACGGCGATGGTGGAGATTCAAGTGATAGTATAGTGAAAGGTATGTGGCGGCGAAAATAGCGGCGGTGGGCATCATCGTCGACGACGATTGCGGCAGTGGGCGTCACTGTCGGTAGCATGCTATTGTGAAATTGGCCGAATTTTTTTTGTTTTGAACTTGGCCACCACTGGTATTGGCCGCAAATGCAGCGCGTGTGGGGAGCATTTTTTTGTTTTATTAATTAAATTAAAATATTTATTTTAACTTTTTATAAAAAAAAATGAAAAACTCAAAAACATGACTTGCGAAAAAAAGGGAGAAAGATCAAAGTAGGACTAAAACATTGAAAATATACCAAAATAGGACTTCCATGTTTTTATTCCCGAAATAGGACTTACATTACCAAACATGGTCATATACATTACCAAGAAAGTATAGTAATTTACACATGTACACTGCCACATTACCACAATGCACAGTCACATTACCACAATGAAAAGTCCTATTCCGGGAAAAAAAACATGAAAGTCCTATTTTGGTACTTTTCTTTATGTTTTAGTCCTATTTAGAATGATTTCTAAAAAAAATTGCCACATGCACTGGGTATGTGAATGTGCTCCTTACTTAGTTCACAATGCATCTTTAAAAAAATGTGCGTGGGGAGCATTTTTTGTTTTAATAATTTTGTTTTACTCCTATTTAGAGGAGTTTAAGTTTGAACTCCTATTTTGAGGATATCACATATGTTTTACTCCTAGTTTGTTCCTTCTCCCCAAATTATATGTTTGGAAAAAACTTAAAAATTTTGAATTTAGATTTGAGTCAAATTCTTCTCATTCCTAACAAAGCGTAATTTAAAATCCATGTATCTTCCCGTGTCATTTGAAATTCAAGATTTCAAATTTTGAAATTGAAGTACATGAATTGAAATGAAATCTTGTTTGCCAAATACTACCTTACAAAATTTCCTTAAAAAAAATGCTAATTACCCCAAAAAATGTTCTCCAATTGTATAACAATCGGACACAAACACTATGTCTTAGGGTATAATTGGGTATATTTTTTGATGTACCTCTAGTATTCTCTTTCTTTAAATAATATACTCAGTATTACCTTCGTTTCGAAATAGTAGACACATTTTGGTTTACAATGATTAACTAAATTTATGTTTATTTCAATTTTTTTGAGGGAGTGTTTATTTCAAATTAGTTTAAAACTAATGTAAGTATAATTTGTCTATGTGAATAACTTAACTTGTTTGACATTTACGAAATTTAAGAAAACATATTGGAATATGTATTTGTTCGAATCTGTTTGGATGAAATTAATTATTTGAGTCACATTTCATTAATAAAAAAGTAAATAAAGTGAAAGGTAATTTACTAATTTTTGAGAAATTGAAAAAAAAAAATCTCTTCTAAACACCAAGTAAATTTTAATGACTCATTTCTTGTTATTTATTACTTTTCTTAATTACCATGAGATCAAATTGGAAAGATCTTATATAATCGTAATGCTTAGTATAATTTTTTTAATGACATTCTTAATTTACACTCTATTTTATAGAAAGTCTACCATCCAAAATTATTGGCCAATAGAGTAGTGGGTAACGATCATACGTAGTAAATTTTTGTATGTACCAAAAACAAAGATTTTAGGAGCATGCTATATGTACTCTAAAATTTGTACATCATTTATACACCAAGGGTATGCACCAACATTTTTATGGTTGACACTAACATAAAATGTTGTTGCGTTAAAAAAATTAGCATTGTACCAACACAAAATGTTGATGCATCCCTACGGTGTACAAAACGAGGTACAAATTCTTAAGATACAAATAACATTATCCAATATTTTGTTCTCTATTTATCAATTTCTACTATTTCAAGATTCGAGGCCCAAGGCTCAAAGGAGTACTTTTCAGTTATCAAATTCGTTGATATGAAATCCACCATTTAAATTAGGGAAAATACTAAAGTCACAAAAACTCCGGTCACAAAATTCACAAACTTTCCATTTGTGTAACTCACCAAGTGAATAAAATAATGATAAATAATTAAAAAGTAGACATTTAAATACATAAATAGAAAGTTTGTGTATTTTGTGACCAAATTTTTTGTGACTCTAGTACTTCTCTTTAAATTAGATGAGATCAATTCAAATCATATAATATCAAATTCATTTAGATCATACTTAAAAATTGAAAAAAATAGTAAAATATATAAAATAGAGGGGTGTGTGTATGCAGACTTTGATCCTACTCAAAAATATAGAGAGTGTTTCCAATAATAATAATAATAAAATTATTTTTTTACTCTGTTTCAAAAAACGTGTAAAATATTATTCCAAAAAATTCTATTAAATAAGTGGTTATATATTTATTTTATTTTGTTAATTGATCTTTGAAATTGCACATACACATAAAAATATAAAAAAAAACCTGAAATAATAAACAAAGCGAAACTTCAAGACAAGAAATAAAATTAATTTGAATAAAAAAAATGAATACGATTGAATGAGTATTTGAATAGAGCCATATAATGGGTATATCGAATGATGTATCACATTTATATACCATCAATTATCTTCATTTATTTTTACTCTTTTTATTCACACTTAACATTATATATGGAGATTGTGTAGTATATATGGTACTCCATATAATTTTTGGTATAATTCTAACATTGTTTTCATTTAAATATAAGTAGATTTCTTATTAAAAGAAACATAAGTATTTATTTCAAAGTTCCGTAATGTAATTAAAACCTCAAAAGGTTAAGACTCGGTATTCGAAGCAACATACGTAGTACATTGTATAATAGGTTGTATGATATTTTTCATACTTTCATGGTGAGTACTCATTTACGAGTTTCTAAATATCTATTGTCGATCAATGTAATATTTTTTTAAGTAATTTATAATATTAATTTTTTCAAAACTCAATTATGTAGCAAATTAATATTCAGTTATTTGAAAATGAGTAGTACGTATTACTCCGTATATTACTACAAGGGAGATGGCCTACTTTATACGGAGTATATGGATTATGCTATGTGTACCCCAAGGTTTGTATCCCAATTTGTATCCCGCAATTTTGCACCAACACTTTGTGTTGGTGTAAAACTAATTTTTGTTAAACGCACCAACATTTTTGTCCGTATGAATTTTTTTTAACGCACCAACACTTGTGTCGGTGTAAACCATCGAAATGTTTGTGCAAATCTGTGGTGTAGAAATGAAGTATATTTTTTTGGTGTAAGTGTAGCATGGTCCTTTATATATTGATGTACCGTAGTATGGTCCTCTTATTTATTTATGGGTGAAAGGTGTCGGTACCAAAAAGCACGTGTCCATCGCCGGAGAATCTCGGGCCCACTGTCACCGTAACGTTCAGAAAACCCTTCTGTTCACGTTTTAAACCCTTTCACCGCCGGCGACGAAAAGGTGTTCATCTTGAACACCTCTTTCTATTTTCGTCACTCTCAGTTATTTACTCTTTTTCCTTTGTCTTCTTTATCCGAAATCCGCCCTTAAGATCCCATTCATTCATGAAGAGTACACCTTAATATGTATTCGGACTCGGGTCGGATTCTAATGGCTTCTTCTTCCAAGAACAGGACCAAAACAGGGGTTTTCTCCGACGCCTTCATTTGCACCGGCGGCACACTCTTCGCCTTCCTTCTGGTTTGGGCCTTGTGGTCTTTCATTTCCCCCAACCCGGTTTTCAGTTCCGGATCCCCGAACAGAGCTGCCGGAAGATTGAGCTCCGCCGCCGGGAACTGCTTCGGGTTGAGGCAGGGGTTTGACCTGAGGTACGACCCGCCGGCGAGGAATTTCTATGACGACCCGGATCTGAGTTATACCATAGACAAGCCGGTGAGGAATTGGGACGAGAAGAGGAGAGAGTGGCTGAAGCAACACCCCTCCTTCATTCCCGGGTCGGAGAACCGGGTTCTCGTGGTGACCGGTTCGCAGGCGACGCCGTGCAAGAACCAGGTCGGCGACCACTTGCTGCTCCGGCTGTTCAAGAACAAGGTGGACTACTGCCGGATCCACGGCCACGACATCTTCTACAACACCGTCCTCCTCCACCCCAAGATGTTCTCCTTCTGGGCCAAAGTCCCGGCGGTCCGAGCCGCGATGCTGGCTCACCCGGAGGCCGAGTGGATCTGGTGGGTCGACTCGGACGCCGCCTTCACCGACATGGACTTCAAGCTCCCGCTCGACCGGTACAAGGGCCACAACATGGTGGTCCACGGCTGGGCAGACATGATCGAGAAGAGGAGCTGGACCAGCGTCAACGCCGGCGTGTTCTTGATCCGGAATTCCCAATGGGCCATGGATTTCATGGACGTCTGGGCCAAGATGGGCCCACAGTCGCCGGAATACGACCGGTGGGGGAAAACCCAAAGGGAGACGTTCAAGGACAAGACATTCCGGGAATCGGACGACCAGTCCGGCCTGATTTACCTGATTTTAAACGAGAAAGAGAAGTGGGGGAGCAAAATATACGTGGAGAGTGAGTTTTACTTCGAGGGGTACTGGCTGGAAATCGTGGGGAGGCTGGACAACGTCACCGACATGTATCTCGGGGTGGAGAAGAGGGCGAGGGAGCTGCGGCGGCGACACGCCGAGAAGGTGACGGAGAGCCACGGGAGGCTGTGGGAGGATTACCTCATGGACGCCGGGTACGGGAGGCACGGGTGGAGGAGGCCGTTCATCACGCACTTCACCGGATGTCAGCCGTGCAGCGGGGACCACAACCAGATGTACTCCGGCGAGACATGCGGCGATGCTATGCACAAGGCGTTGAACTTTGCCGACAACCAGGTGCTTAGGAAGTATGGGTTTATGCACAGGGATCTGATGGACACCGCCACCGTCTTGCCGTTGCCGTATGATTTCCCGGCGTAGACCGCCGGAATCTGTACTTTCTTTTTTTAAGCATAAAAGTATGATATTTATTGTTATCAATTAGACTCCGTAGCAAAACTATATTGCCCCTTGTTTGTCTCCGGCGTCTTCTTTTTCTTTCTTCTTCCAGAATTCAATTGCATGTCTGTATTGCTGGCACAGTTTAGAAGAAGAATCTAATCAATCAATCAGGACGCTTTGATTCACAGATTAGGACTCCACACTTCAATACTTTGAGTGTTCGATTCATGGTAATTGGGCAGAGGTAAAAAACAACGAGTGTCTAAACTCTAAACATAGTATCTTTATAAGTATCAATGCAGGGACTATCATACTCGATTTGTTTTCAATTTGCTATTAGAGTTTATTTTGTTTTCTCTCAGTAAGATTGAGCCCCGTATCCGAGGGCTCATCATACTCCATCGGAAAGTTTTGGATATCAAGTAAATTAGAGTTTAGTCGCAGATTGATGATAAAGAGTGAAGTATGCACATAATACTTGTAGAGGTTTTATGATTAATATAGTTTTTTCCCAATGTAGTTGCTAAGAATCGAAACCGAGTGTTATCTCTTGGCACTCCGTGCATGTATATTAGTCGACACACTGCATTGGTCGACACATTGCATTGCACCCCACCGCAAATTTGACCATCGGTTTGAACCTAATGATTAGTGTACCACGAGCTTCTTCTTTTCTATATCAGACGAGATAACCTCTTAAAATCATCATCAAGGAATAAAATCGACATTCTTATCTCCTTCTTTCTTTTCTTTAGATCCCGAATATGTTCAAAGTTTCCTTCTCTCTTTACCTTTCCTTTCATGGAGTTTCAAAATTTTCGAAGTTTCTCCCTATCCCAATACGATTTGCATCAAAAATCATATCAATTGATGTTTTCATTGATTTGAGCGCCAAGAAAAAACCTCCCAAAAAATTTTCAGATCACAAAGCTGCGTCTTTACTCGCCTTCGTCCCCTGTTAGAGTATATAACAATCATTTTTGGGCCACAATCACAAGCTTGAGCTTTTGGTTGAACTGGTTCCTTGACATGGTATCAAAGCCTTGATGACCAAAGAGGTCACGAGTTCGAAACTCACCGCCACCCAGTTTAAAAAAACCGCCACCCAGTTTAAAAAAGTAAGGTCTCACGTGCAAGGCTCAAAGAAGTCACGCATGCACGTGAATGAGCGTGTTAGAGTATATAACAATCATTCTTAGGCCACAATCACAAACTTAAACTTTTGGTTGAACTGGTTCCTTGACATCCTTGACAAGACGAAACGAAGGATCCGATCTCTTCTCCCTTGCTCAATTGCAATTGTATTAGCCAAATTGACGATGTGAGTATGTGACTATGATTTCTTAGGGAGAGTTAATAATTAAGGAACAATTGTTGGAAGGTGACTCCACCTGAGCTTCACAACAATTTTTAATGTTATTCCCCTTTCTCCCAACTCAAATAGTTCATTTGATCACATGGTAACATCTCATACTTATATTTAGTTGATTAAAATTAAAAAAATGAAAAACTAAATTACTCCGTATTTTTTAAGGAGAAAAAACTAAATTATTACGGAGTATAACACTTTAAAATTGACGATTAGTAAATAATCCGCATTACTAGAATTCGAGCAATGACAATTTTTTAAGTAGAGACTATTCATATTCATGTTTCCACCCATGACAATTTTTTTAAGTAAAGACTGTTTATATTCTTGTTTCCACCAATGACAATACCGGTGATTTTATAACTACGCAGACGATAATCATATGTGAATAACACTAATTTTTATTGTCTGTGTAAAATAATCTTTATTGTCATTGATCAGGCATCTGTAGTGGGGTTCTAGTATTATCCTTTTATCATACACACTTATTCTTGAAACATAGCTTCTGTAACTAATTTTATGATTTAGTGGCCGTTTGGTGAGCGAAAAAAAGATATGAATTCTAAGATATCCAGATATCAAAACAATTTTCTGGTGTTGGTGAAGACTAAACACATTTCAAATTTGATATTTTGAAATATCACAAATCCGTCAAATGTAAGATTTCAATACATTTTCAATTTGAGAGATATATCAATATGAGAATTTGATATTTTCATAAAAGTCAACCACCACCGGCTACCGTTGTTCCCGCTAACTGTCCTATAGCTGATCATCTCCGTTTATCACTAATTAAATCACGATTTTAAATTTCTCAAAACAGTTTCATTTTAGATCTAAAATTATATCTCTCGTTGATTCGAGTCATGTCATATCATATTTCAAACTCACCAAATGAGTTCTTGAAATCTAACATTATCATTCTATCATACTCAACAGTGAAGAATCCAGTTATCCAAAGATTTACAGCCGGTGAAATAATGCAATAAGGTTCATCACAAATTTGAAATGGAAGAACAAACCAAAAAAGATTGAATCTGTGCATCTCTGATTACGTGACATGGGCTGAGATGATGGGCTATTTAAATAAGAAAAGTTGGGTCCTCCATTTACATTGAACGTTGTGCAATTAATAACGCCACACTCTTAATGGGCCGGCCCTGCTTTCGTCAACAGTTTGAGAAACCTATCATGGATCACTTTTAATTAAACGATTCGATATGGGTACGAAATAAAGCCTAAAACCATTTGGTACTATTTTGTATTGAAATAGAAAGATACAATACCATACACAAATGTTCAAAGAGTGCCAAAAAATTAAATATGTTTTACTCAAATAATATTAAAACAAAAGCACAAATTTGTTTAAAAAAGCACAACTTTCTTAAATAAGTAATGATTTCAATTAAAAAAATAAACAATGTTCAAACGGATCGTAAACATAAAGAATAAAATATATACTTTTTCTAAGTATGTAGAACATTAATTTTTGTAATTTTTTAGATATATGGTAAGTAATACCGGAGTAGTTAGATATATCCCAAACCATTTTATTGTGATTTCTAAGACCCAGATCAGAAAGACCCCTGGAGCAATGTGGAATTAGGGCATACCGGAGTAGTATCTTTTTCTAGGTATGTCCGTATGTACTTACCTTTCCAAATCAATGTCCTGGAAATCAGACTAGTCGAAAATATAGACCCTCGAGTCGGCCTTGGCTTGGATATTGACCAGAGACGTAATATAGTCACTTAAATATTGGGTCCGATTTGGTTGAGTTTCCCGGTCCACCCTCGTGGCCGCCTTGACTTGGATTCATGACAAGAAAATATTGAAGTTCTAAGCAAATATAAGAATAGTATACAATTTTTTTAGTGCAACATTATACACTTAAAAATAAAATTTGTACTAAATAGTACGTGGTATTAAACATATGTCTTTTCCAATATAGTATCTAAAAATTTTTGTTCCGTAAATAGTATTTGAACAATGTCTAGTGATGGTGGACATTTACTTTGAATAATGTTCAATACAATGGATATTTACTTGAATAATGTCTTATAAATATTAAACAGTAGTACTACATTAAAAAAATTATATGAAATACAATTATTAATATATACGGAGTAATTACGGAGTATTTATCAAATAATGACTTGTATACGAACTTTTTTTAGTGCAATTTTATACGGAGTACAATTATTAAAATACATTGGGTATAATAGGGGTGAGATATTAGATTGACGGAAAGGTGTCCAAATGCCATTTTTTCATTTTTTACTAAACATTTCTATCTTAACGTACACATCATTTTCCATTTCAAGTGCTTTTCTTTATCAGCTACAAATGCAAAATGTTTCCCAAAACCCAAAACTCCCAAAACAAAGAAATCTCCGCAAGATAGAGACTTTCTCCGCCAATGGATATCGCCCCGATTCGTGCTTGCCGGTATGCCCTAACTCCACATTGCTCCAGGGGTCTTTCTGATCTGGGTCTCAATTATTTTCCCTAATCTTCCAGATCTCTGAAATTGAATTTCATTTATTGGCTGTGCACTGTTACTGTAGAGTGTTTTTATCTGTATGGGTCTGTGTCTTTGACCAGAAAAAGAGAAGATCATAAAAAAAAGCCAGTCGCGAGTGAGATAGGGAGAATAAAGGGCCGTCCCCTTCCAAGGAGAGAGTCCCTGTCAATGAAAGCGAGATTCTTGATACCTCCATTGCAGTTCTTGTTTTTCTAATTTCATCGCATTTCTCTGCAATTTTTGAGTTGCAGAGGTCGTGTGGTAGTGGGGGCTTGAGCTGATTCACAATGCCTATGTATATGCCCTCTGGGAGGGGCGGCGCGGTGGGTTTTGAAGGTGGCGGTGATACCCACGTCCTAGATCTGGACACGGCGGTCAAAGATGGAGTCTTGGGCGGCGGCGGCGGCGGCGGCGGTTTCGATGGGCCTGTCGAGTTCGGGGAGAAAATGGATCTGAAGAAGGTGATTAGGGAGCTGAATTTGTCCGAGGTTCCGTCCGTCTTCATCTGCCCAATCTCTCTCGAACCTATGCAGGACCCAGTGACCCTTTGCACTGGCCAGACTTACGAGAGGTCGAACATCCTCAAATGGTTCGGTTTAGGGCACTGCACTTGCCCTACAACCATGCAGGAGCTTTGGGATTTCACAGTCACCCCCAACAGGACCCTTCACCACCTCATCTGTTCTTGGTTCCTGCAGAAGCACCAGCAAGTGAGGAAGAAATCCCAGGATGTTTCTGGAAGGGCAATGGAGATTCTTGAGACCTTGAAGAAAGTCAAAGGCCAGTCAAGGCTCCAGTCCCTCACAGACCTCCAATTGGTTCTTTCATCTCACCCAACTGCTAGGAAGACTGTGGTTGATGAAGGTGGGGTCCCACTTCTTTCCTCATTGCTCGGCCCTTTCACTTCCCATGCTGTTGGTTCACAGGTTGCTGCCATTCTTGTTCATTTGAACCTGGACTCAGAATCAAGAAAGATTCTGATGGAACCTTCCAAGATTTCTTTGCTAGTGGACATGTTGAACGAAGGCTCTACAGAAACAAAGATCAACTGTGCCAGATTAGTCAAACTGGTAATGGAGGGAAGTGATTTCAGGGTGGAAATGGTGTCAAGTCACAGTCTTTTAGCTGCACTGATGAGGCTAGTGAGGGACAGACGGAACCCGTCCGTCCACTCCCACGGTCTCCAACTCCTGGAACTGATTTGCTCGCACGAGCAAGTCAGATCCCTAATGGTCAGGATTGGAGCGATTCCTCAACTGGTCGAATTGTTGCCGGGCATGACCACGGATTGCCTGGAACTTGCATTGTTGATCCTGGACATGCTATCATCCGTGCCCGAAGGGAGAGCGGGCTTGAATGAGTGCCCGAACGGGATACGGGCAATGGTGAGGCTGCTCATGATGGTCTCAGAGAGGTGCACGCAGCACGCCCTCTCCATCCTGTGGTCCGTGTGCATGGTGGGGCCCACGGAGTGCTCGTCCGTCGCGGTGGAGGCCGGGCTGCTGGGGAAGCTGCTGCTCGTCATACAGAGCGGGTGCAGCCCGGGACTAAAGCAGCAGTCTTCTGAGCTTTTGAAGCTCTGCAGTTTGAATTACTCCGACACCGTTTTCATATCCAAGTGCCGGCTTAACCGGACGATACAATGAAGGAGGAGATCAGAGTGTCTGGTTTGGGTAAGAAGAATTCAAACCCTTAGTACATAAAGTTTGAAGAGGGTGAACAAAAATGTGGACAAAACTGCCCCTCCTCCTCCCTGTCCCTGTTAAAAGTTCAATGTTTATTATTATGATGGCAACACCATCAATATGGGCTTCCTGCAGAAAGTTTTGAATAAAATGGAGAAAGTGAATTGCCTATGCTTTAGACTCTAGCTAGGAAGCCATATTTTACATTGTATGCATTGCTTTAGGAGATTGCAATTGCAATTGTAATTTGTTAACATGTTGCTTTCATCCTTGGTGATGCATGAACACATCCAAATTTCCCCACATGTAATATAATGACTGTATCTTATAAACAAACTTTAGAGATTAGCGTTAGTATTTTGAAAAGACTATTTACGGGCAACGTTTAATGTTAGCATTTTCAAAGTTAATCTATACCGTTAACTTTTTATGTAAAACGCTAACGTTAATCGAAAATGCTATTCCTCAGACGTTATTTGGAGACGGATCCTTTATATGCTTAGGGATGGGGTTTTCCATTAAAACAAACAAACCCCATAGGGAGGGGTGTTTGTGCTTTAAGTTTTAACCTTTTGTGGTGAGAAATGAGGACAAAGACTGGTCTCACACTTTGGTCAGTTCTGAATTATTATTTTTTTTAAAAGAGAGAAATGGCTGACCTGACTATGAGTACATGGCTATTCTGCTTTCTGTGTTTTTTTATATATTCAAAACAGGTGTGGATTCAGAAAAAATAAGTGACCCCCCTGCCCCACTGCCCCCACTGCCCCTGCCTTGATGAGCTGTATGGTCTGTATATGATTCTCTCATGTTAAATTTTTTTAACTTCAAAATAGAAAGAAAAATGCGCCCACTCTTCTTTTTGAAGCGTTTCAAAATAAAGTTTTTTTTTATAAAGGAAATGATTGAGCGGTTATTAGATTTCTTTCTTATTCACTTATTAAAGTTTGGGATGCATTATTGTGGTATGATGAGATAATTATGCAGGTTATTTTATCATTACACTTTTATACCACAAGGTTGCTCTCTCTTCATATGAACTTATTAAGGGTCTGTTTGGGAATAGCGTTAGCGATTAGCGTTAGCATTTTGAAAAGACTATCTACGGGCAGCGTTTAGCATTAGCGTTTTCAAAGTGATCTGCACCGTTAAAATTTTATCCAAAATGTTAATGCTAATCTCTAACGTTATTCCCAAACAGGCCCTAAATCTGTTCTGAATTATTACTCCCTCCGTCCGGTATTAAAGTTTACGTTTTGACTTATTGTCATTTTTAGTGGGAGTTGACTAAGCACTTAGAATACCAAAAATACCCCTTTCTCCCCTTTTGCCTTTCCACCTGAACACGGAAAACAGCCCGGCTCAAAATAGGAAAACAGCTCAAAATTGGCTTTTACCCTTTCTTCCAAACCTGACGGCTCAAAATCTGAATCTATTTGGTTACCGGAATCAGCCGATTTGGTTACCGAAATCGCCAGATCGCCGCCGTGACCCGGGCCAGCGGTTTCCGGCGGGTTTTCCTCAATTTCGGCCACCTCCGCCACCTCTGACGTCGCGCAACCCCACCAGGCACTTCCCCCAGTCCATCCAGCCATAGAGGAACCATCAATTGCAAAGTTGAAGCCAATTTGAAGAAACCCCCAATTTCGGATCCTAGGGCTTTCCCGAGCCTAAAATCTTCAATTAGTGAAGTTCAAGGCAAAATTGGAAAAAAAGGACTGGATATTCGTGATCCTCGTGCAAAAACGGTTCATATGGCGTTGGTTCCGTCCGTTTCTGCTCAGGAGAAAGAAAAGAAGAAGAAAAGCAAGAAGAAGAAGAAGAAGAAGAAGAAGAAGAAGAAAAAGGGGAAGAAGAAGAGGAGGGAGGGGGAGAGTTCACCGATCGGGAGGATGGGAGAAAGAAAAAGAAAAAAAAAGGAACTAAGGAAGAAGAGGAGGAAGGGGGGAGAGGGAGAGAGAAGATTGAAATGGTAGAGAAGGGTATTTTTGGAAGAGTGTGGGTTAAAATTAGAAATGTAAACTTTATTTTCGGACGGAGAAAAAGGAGAAACGTAAACTTTATTTCCGGACGGAGGGAGTATTATTGATTGTATCATACTCCCTCCGTCCTAAAACTTTCTTCCCAGAACATTATTCCAACTTCACGGGAATTTATATTTATTTGTGTTTTTTCATGGCCTATATGATAAAATAAAATATTCTTGTCACCACTTGTTTTGTTGAACTTTTGATGTAGTTTTTAAATATGTATGTTTTATTTTTTATTTCTATACCAATATTTAAATAAAATAGATTGAAAAAACTTGGGATTTTTCTTCGTTTTGCGCAACGGGAAGAAAGATATAGGACGGAGGGAGTATCAAATTTTTTCAAATCTGATCAAATCTGTTTGAATATTTATGTAAACTATTCGAAGAGTTAAACTTTGTATACTTTGTTTTCTTACTTTCGTTACTCATTTAATAAAATAAAACAATCATGTTACATTTAGTTTTGTAGATCTTTTGATGTTGTTTTTTAATTTTTTTTAATTTTTTAATTTTACACCTAAATCAAATAAATTCAATTGAAAATAAAATTACAAAAATAAGTTGCTTTTAAGTGGTCAAATTATTATATGAACACATAAGAATCATGGTAGAAGGGAAGACTGGGGAGCACATTTTTGCATGGTGCAGATAAAGTCAGTCAAAAGCCTTGCTTTGCGATGCATTGGTGTGTTACCTTTTACTGTGTTATTCAAAACTAAAAAAGCAAAATGTAGGTTCTTTATTCAAACTAAAAAACCCAACTATGTGGATGTAGCAGCTAGGTACCCATCCCATGGGAAGAGTTTTTGTCTATGGAATGAGAATCTATTATCTACTATCCATCCCACCATCCGGTCAAACTTATAGGTGCACATTTGTGGGCTTTGGTTTCTAGATATTAACTTTGAGGGCAATCTTAGGCTACATCAATATATATATAGGGTAACTCATTTGTACATCAATTTAACAGAGACATATACAGACACGTAATATCTGTGCATGTACGGATATTATGTGTCTGTGTTAGCGGTTTACGGCGGATTGGAGCGTTTTCCGGCCAACTCCGGCAAATTTGACGCCGGTCATCCACTCCAATGTGTTCGTGGCATCACGGCAACCTCCAAGGACTCCTCAATTGCAAGATTTGATGACGATTTGCAAAACCCCAATTTTGGACCCAATTTCGAATTTTAGGGTTTTTTCGAGTGAAAAAATTTAGATTCGAGGAGTTACAGGCCAAATTGGACAAAATGATTTAGATATTCTTGATCCTCGTCTCAAGACGAAGAGAATGGCGTTGGTCCCGCCGGAATCGGACCAAGTTCATTTTCCGGCGACTTTGACCGGCGGCGGGGCGCGGAAGAAAAGAAAAGAAGAAATGGGGTCAAATTAAAAATTTTAAAATATATAAAATTCTAATTTGGCCCAAATGACCGGAAGTTAACCTAGAAACGGGTAAATTGACTATTAGTGAAAGGATTGTGTAAGTTCAGGGATTTTTTTGAAAGGATTTGAAGTTTAGGTACCACTTTAAAATTCCAGCTAAAGTTCAGGTACCATTGATGAAATTTACCCTGAGTAAACTCTATATGTTTTAATTCAATATATGATTACTTTAAAGAAGGAATGCCACTATGACTTACTCCCTCTCTCCTAAAACTTTCTTCACACTTCTCTTTTTTCTCCGTTCTAAAATTACCTTCCCATTAGAAAAAAAGATGACAAATGACATTAATACACTTATGTATTTACACCAATTATCTTCTAACTCTATATTTTGAATGATTGTAAAAAAAAAAAATTTCAAAAAATCTTTTTTAACGAGGATAAAATTTGAAGTCAAAGCCAAAAATTAAAAATGGGGAAAAGTCAAATTGGGAAGAAAAAATTAGGACCGATGGAGTATTTTTCTAGATCCGCAACTCAGCAACTGGTACCCCTGCCATGTGTTTCTTCCTCTTCATCCCTTCATCTTCCTGTTAAGATGCCTAAATCCTACTTATATACGGAGTAATTCTATTTTTTTTGACATCTTTAATTACCATATTTTCTAAACGTACTCACTCAAATATCTAATCTTTAAATCTCCAAGTTTCTACATTCAACATTATATTGTTAAAGATGTATGTACATTGATTTTTATCTTTTGGAATTTAAATATAAAAACATAATTAACCATGTTGAATTTTTTTTACCACAATCCGATAATGCCTTTTTCAAAAATAATACCCGGAGTAATAGAAAAAGTTTTTTTACATAATACTAAGAGTAAAATTTATAAATAGTCCCTAATTACAAGCTAAGTTTTTTTATATTTAGTCTCTCATTCAGAGATATTACATAAATGGTATTCAATAACTATTCCATAATATCCTTTAGATCAAATATGACAAATTGTTATTTTTAGATATAGTCTCTGAAGAACCGAATATGGCGCAATTTAAAAAAATCAAATTAAAGATCATTTATATAATACCTTAAAATTGAGGATTAAATATGAATAACCAACTGTAATTAGAAATTATTTATAGAAATTACCCTATTAATATTATCAATAATAATAGTAAATGCTATTTAAGTAGGTTTATTTTTTTCAAAATCAACGTTTTTTAATTAAACACGTACATGTTAATTAATGTGATTTTTTGTCAAACAATGGAGCAATTCAAGCGTAACGTTGTCGGTCTTCATTACACTATTGTTCTAACTTCTATCTCACCAAAATGATCATCAAATTAAGTGATTTGTGTTTGAGAGAACCAAAATTAATTTCCTAGACATAGAAGTTTTTTTGTTGTCGATATGATTCTCGGGTTTAAAAGTAGTTATTCGGCGTATTTTATATGAGAGAAATTTACCTAAATAGGACTAAAACATAATGACTTTCCCAATATAGGATCATATGTTTTTATTTCCCAATGTAGGACTTTTGGTCATTATAAAGTAGTCATTATTCAACTAAATATCCATCATTACTGGACATTATTCCTTCCACTAAGTTATTATTAAGTTTTATTTAGGGAATAAAAGAATTTAAGTCATACATTAGAAAAGTCATTATGTTTTAGTCCTATTTAGTGCATATTTCACTTTATATGAATTCTTTTAACTCCCCAAAATGATCATCGTTTTAGTATTGATTATTCTAGTAAGTGTAACCAACTCTTTTGGATAGTTGAATATACTTAAGACTAGATGAAAATTTTATTAGACGTTAATACAAGTTTGATTGTGTGGAATACAAATTCGTTAAATCATGTTACAAATTCTTTAGCGAGGGTCATGATCCTTGGGCGGCAGCCTACAATGAAGCGGGGTTCAATGAACAGATATCCAAAAACAAACTCCAAAATGAAGACAGAAAACTAAGAATTTGAATACTATATATTACGTACGGAGTATATTTTAGTATCAGAATGCTATTATTTGTTGGTTTACACCAAGAGACATGTCTCGTCATGTTCTCTTTACAAACATGAGAGCTCATCGATTAATCTCTGTGGAGTTACTTGTAGGTATGCATATTGGGCATTTCATGGAGCAAATAGCAAGTTACAATATTACATGCTTGGTGTCACGATTGTTGGTACACAAACTATTAAGGCATTCACTCTTGGCGATGTCGATGAATGGAAATCGCAAATTAATTCTATTGGCTTATGGTATTGTTTAATTTGTAGGGATATGACTGACAGTTGGTCGTGATTTCTATACTTGGTTGCACAAAGAGCGAAAGTAAGATGTGATAGATAAATTATTAGAGAAAAAGTATGATGTGATAGGAAGGGTATGAAAAAATAAGGGTAAAAGTGGTATTTTAATAGAAAGTAGAAGTGTTTTGTTGGAAGTTAAAAAAAATGAAAGAATTAGTATTTTTGAGAAGAGAGACTGAGAGAGTATGATTTATGATTGCTCTGACCACATCTAAAACATTTTTTAAATAATTTAAGAATGTTTAAGATTAAAAAATTAACTTGTCTTATACACAAAATGTTTGCTATTATCAAAGTAACGATCAATACATGGAATGTGTTTTGCATATGGCATTGTTACGATTTTTATTTAGGAATCATTATTAATGTGTGCTATCTTTTGGGCTTGAACCATAAAGCCTGAATGCAACCCTCAGGTTTGTGAGTCCTGTCTGTTATGAGTCGGCCTGACCCTTAAAAATTGTGCAGGCCCGTTTTGTTGTGGGCCAATCAAGAATCCGGGCTTGTGATCAGATAACAGAAAAGCGACGTCGTTTAATTGAGGAGTGTTACACGGTATTGGCGATGGAAAATCGGACCTTTTCTTTCTTATCCCCTGCGATCTCTTCAATCTTCATCCCTCAGATTTCTCCTCTCCGACAGTATAGCGGTCACCGCCGGCGATCTCTAAGCTTTCCGGTCACTTTGTTTCCGACCATCACACAATGTCATGGTTGGCTCGATCGATTGCCAACTCTCTCAAACTTAATGACGACGATGACGGAGAAGAAGAAAACGACAATATTTCTGCTTCCATGCGTGGTCACTCCAGTGATACTTCAAAAGAAGAACCGGTGCAAAATCAGACACAATCGGATGATCCTTCGCCTCCTGCATCTCCGTCACGCGGTGTCCGAGAGGATCTTTCTGAGATCACCAAAACCCTAAGCCGGCAATTTTGGGGCGTTGCATCGTTTCTAGCACCGCCACCGCAATCCGAGTCGCCTAATGAATCCCAACCGGACACTTACCGGGAATCGGAAGCGGATACTGGAGGATCCGAAGCCATGGGACCGGCTGGGATCAGGAATGACTTCGCAGAGCTCGGTGGGAAGTTCCGAAGTGGCATATATAAGCTATCAAGCAACATGGCTGTGTCAGAGATCACGAAAATAGCTTCGAATATTCTGCAGCTGGGGTCGGATGATGAAGAGGAGGATGGCGGTTTCACAAAAGGTGCGGTCGGAGTTACTGAGGAGGTGGTGGCATTTGCAAGGGATATTGCTATGCATCCCGAGACTTGGCTGGATTTTCCTTTGCCTGAAAATGAGGAGGATGAAGGTCAGTTTTTGTTATTGTTTTCGACAGTACTTTTGATGAAGAAGTAATTGTAAAATCATCTTAAAGTTATTGGTTTTGGCTTAGCAAAGTGGGGTGTTCCAAGCAACTTATTGACTTATGGGCAAAAAAAAAAAGATCAAAGCTTTGTTTATGTGTACATTTGGTGGATGCTAGAAATATATATATCGGATGATTAGATATTGTTTGTGCCATAGTATTGGTTCGAAACTAGCTTAACACGATGCAATGAAAATGTTACGTAGTACTCCCTCCATCTGGGAATGTTCTTCACGGGTTGACTTGGCATGGTTATTTAGGAGTGTTAAAAAATTATTGGCTTTCCTAAACTACCCCTCTACAGTTCTACCACATTCCTATCTCCTTGCGCCTCCATCAATCTTCGACCTTTCTCTCATTGTGATGGATAAATTCCTTAATTGAAACAGACAGATTCCAGGAGTGATGAAATCTGTCCCCATTTACTCATTCCTCCGCAAAATCATCACTTTGCCATAGAACTAATTGAGTATAAGACATCAAAAATCATAAAGTTTTCTGGGAAACATCCGTCATGGGGGTGAAACCTAACACATCTAGCACGTTTTCAGAAATTGAGAGTGAAAATCTACCTGATGGCCAAAACGAACTAGAGTATAACTAAAAAGCAAAATTGGAATCAAAGCGTTGAAGAAAATTGGAAACCAGAAACCCTCTTGCATCTGAAAATTTGGGTGAGGACGGCAAATTGAATCCCTCCCCGACCCTAGGTTTCCAATTTGGCAGTGGGGACGATCTAGAAAGATGAGGGAAGAAGAATAGTTGAAGGGGGAAGAAGAAAATGGTGGTGACAGCAGCATCTTCGGCCAAGGCAATGGCGGCACCGCCCATTGCAACAGCGGCATCTTCGGCCATGATAACGGCGATGGCTCCGATAGAAATGAGAAAAGGAGTCTCCCTCAAAAAAGAAGAAACGAAGATTCTCAAATCACAATAAGAATAAGAAGATGGGTATACACATATGGGTTAGTGGTAGTGGGAGTTGGAGGGCATATATGACATTAACCATTTAGAAACATGCCAAATAAAGAAATTGGAAGAACATCTCTGGACAGCCTGAAAAGGAAAGTGAATTCCGGACGAAGGGAGTATATCAAACAGATATTCATGTTACATGATAAGAAAATGTATTATTTTTTCGGTGGGGTAATTGATATTGATATAAAAATCCTGATGAATTTATTGTCAACAGCTTTTGATTAGGCTCTATAGCATTTATTGTTGTCTACTCACAGCAATCAATTTTCTCCCTCTAAAAACTTGGGTGAATTTATTGACTTGACATTATCTGGACCAATATTTGTTTTCATTTTTGCACTCATTGGTTCACTGTGAGGATTGGGTATCAATATTTTTCATTTCATGGATGGCCTTCTTGGGGTTGGTGTGGTATTAACCTTTTGACCAGCAATTGTTTTGTTCAATGATCAGTTGGTCACTTCTTATTCTGGTAGCAAACATTCATTTTTTTCTCCATGCCCAGCCAATGTGTGAGTGGTATGAATGCCGAGGCTGACCTATAGTCTTGTAAGATGAAAAATGTCTGATTTGATGACCATCCAAATTTAAAATTTGAGCCAGCCTTTCACCCATTAATCAATGTTTTTAGATGACATTTTCCTTATATTCTGTCTAGCAATAAAATGAATTTCTTCTAGATTAGAGGATTTTAGACTGTCCATTGGCTTATGATTTATTTTTTTTAAAAATTATTTCATCATGCTAGACTTTGACATGTCCGATGCTCAACAAGATCATGCTTTGGCTGTTGAACATCTCGCTCCAAGATTAGCTGCTTTGAGGCTTGAACTTTGCCCAGGTCATATGAGTGAAACTCACTTTTGGAAGATTTACTTCATACTTGTTCAACCTAGGCTAGATAAAGATGATGCGGAACTTCTCTCAACACCCCAGGTAAGGATCGTAATAATGGCTTATGTTTTATATTCTTGTTATCAAGATATTATGTATCGAATGTTCTTTTTTTCTAGTCTAGATGTATCTTAACGACAAATATTTTTTGTGAAAAGCTTAACATTTTTTTGCATGCAGATTGCAAAAGCACGGGCCTTTCTAGGCCATGAGTTACGCAAGCGAACCGATGCAAGCTCACAAGACGGCAATAAAATTGTAAACGAGGAATGTTTATCTGTGCCACCCGATGATGTTTCTGCAAAGTTTGTCCAGGTGACATCTGGTTTGGAATCAACCCTTGATGCAGACAAACTCCCCAATGCTGCTAGTGCCAATATCCAAATGGTAGACAGAATTGTGACCTCTGATGCAGACAAACTCCCCAGCACCAATATCCAAACGGTAGACAAAACTGTGATTGAAGATTGCAATGGAAATGCAACTGCAGATGAAGCCCTACCATCTACCAACCTCAACATATTAAACGAGGAAGACGATGCGGATGATTGGCTGAAGGAAGAGAGTTCAGAAATGCAATTTGACAATAAAGCCCCCAGTCACATAGAGAATGAAGATGACGTGTCATTTAGCGACCTTGAAGATGAGGACGACAGCAACGTGGCCATTAGCTAAAAGAAAGAAATCGTTCTGGTAAAGAGTCACGAGATAGCTCTATCAGCTTCGAAAAGGTAAATGTGAGCGTTCCCGAAAACAAGGAATCTAATGATTGGCTTGATCTTCGATGACATTGAAGTGGCATGAACTGATCATATATTTCTCTCTGTGTGTGTGTGATTCTTTAATTTTCATATTTTCTTTCATGTTTTGTGTTTGGGTTCTCTCTTTTTCAATCTGTGTCCCTAGATTCTCAAAGAATGCCTGTAAATATATAAATGTACAATGACTAAGAAATACGGAGTATTTATGTTATACATTGTTCGACCCGTTGTCATGAATTGTGAATCATAAACTAAATTTTCATAAATCATTCGTTTGCCTCTTTTTTCTTCAACTTATTGACAAAATACACGAAAGCAAGACAAAATGAACGAGAAATATTTTTTTGCTTGTATATATCCGTGTGAGCTTACATTTTCAAGGCTAGAGGCCAACTTTATACTAAAATTTATTGCTAGAGTAAATGTGTAAATGGGCACCCTACCTATATATATATATATATATCTACATACATGTGAATGTGTTGTAAGATTAGAAAGAAAAAAAACTACTCCATATTTGTGCAGGTTTAGGATCTTATGGGTCTGAAGTTGCTTGAAATCCTCTCGAGTTGCGCCCAAAGCAAGCTTCCCAAAGAAACCCCTCCTCCTCCTCCGGCGGCCTTGTCCACTTGTTCACCACCGTTGGCAGCGGCCGCCAGAGCAGACCGGCTCGAGGATTCGTGAACCACCATTGCGGTGCTTCCGATTTCTCGCCGGACGGATTCCACTGTTTCTTTGCTCACAACGCTTTGCCCCGAAGCGTCCTTCACGTAGAATGTGCCTATCGCGCTCTCGCCTCGCGTCCCGATCTCGGCCCTAGAAATGGACAACCCGTTCTCTCGGAACACTCTCGTGACATCCGATAACAATCCGCGCTTGTTTCGAGTGCGTATGTCCAGCCTCAGTCCCTGTATTATTATTCAGAACTCACTTAGGCCCCGTTTGGTACACGGAATTCAAATTATGGAATTGAAATTGAAATTATGGAATTGAAATTGAAATTGAAAATTTCAATTCCAATTTGTGTGTTTGTAGCACAAAAATTATGTGAATTTGGAATGGATAGTGCAAAAAATGAATTGGAACTGGTGAATTCAATTCTATGGAATTGAATCCAATGAAATTTCAATTCTAATTCAATTCCAATTCCATCAATTCAGGGAGTGGTATCATATACTCCCTCCGTCCCACTGTCTTTGTCCACTTACCTTTTGGCACACCATCCAATGCACTTCTTTAATCCATTTTATCTTGTAATTTGTATATTAAAAAATTTTTGAAATTATATATTAATAATCTATATGTTAAGACGAATCAAACAAGATCACACATGACTATTTTTAGGCTTACACATTGAGAGAATTTGATGAGTCAAAGTGTTTAGATAAATCGTTCCAAAAGTCAAATGTGGACAAAGACAGTGGAACGGAGGTAGTATCTTCCAAAATTAACTAAATGGGGGGGGGGGGGTCTAACTTACATGAGAAGCTCTTCTTTCAGTGGCTGCAATCAAACACTGTGTCACTCTGTTCCTCTCACTCTCCAAATTCAAAGTGCATCCATCTTCATGCCTTAGGTAATATTCCTGAACAAGACTTACAATGGGTAATTAAGATGTAAGAGGGGTAATTAATGAGGGTAAATTAGGAATCTTGATTTCATTGTTATTACCTGAACAGACATGGAATCCTGAGAGCTAATGGATGCATGGGAAACGACGTACCGCATGTCGGTGAGGGCACATACGGTGTCGAACAGCAACTTGGGTCTGTCCCTACACCACACTGTAACTATACTGTACCCTCCCTTCTCTTTACAGTTCTCTATCTTCACGCGGGCCCCGCCGCCCTCGTTCCTCGGGCCGCACTGCTCGAAGTCTCCGTCGGCCACCATCAGCTGGTGGAGCCGCCGCTCGGCGTGCGTGGCACCGGGGTCCGAAATCCTCATGCTCCGGCGCTGCCCGTTCTGGTGGTGGGCTTCGACGACGTTCTCCAGCTGGGCCTGGATTTGGGCCACGCGGTACGGGTCCCTGATCGGGCCACGCTTCGCGTCGTCGTCCTCTCCTTCTTCGACGTAGAGTATGCACGCGGCACGCGCGTTGTGGGTCCACGCCACAGCACCGGTGATGTGGCATCCCATCTCGGCCAGAACGGCCGAGATCTCGGACATCAGCCCCGGCCTGTCCGTTCCCGTCATTTCCAGAGCGGTTGTTTGTTCTGTAAACACAAATCGGGGCCCAACGTCTCCGCGTTTCAAGGATTGGATTCCCCTCCTGCTCTCACAAAGTGCCTGTTTGTTAACACAATCAGTTTACCACTCAATTCATACATATTTATATATACAGACCACAGAGTATATAAACTGTGTCAGCAAATAATTAACCTGGGTGATGTAGTGGATGATGCTTTCCTCAATGATTTTTTTTCCAGATTGGTCAGTGACATGGAACACTGGGAAACAACGTTAAATTATAACATTGTTATTTGTTGATGATGGAGGGAGGACTAACCATGATGACACCACATATGACATCACTGTGTGTCTCAGAGGGATGGTAGGTTTCTAGCATCTTTGGTGTGTGAAATTGTTGTACGTGAAAGATTGGGATGTCATATACGGTGTCATACTTGGGTGTGACTAAAACATGGTTCACTAACCATCCATTAACCATCCGCCATCGGAACTGATATAAGATTTGGAAATGACTAAGTCCAAATCTGTCAAAACTTGAACCATCTCCAGTAGTATCCCATGCTTATTGGCACTATCAACCTGTGACCAATTCAGAGGACATAAATTATGATGATTGATGATGAGGCATGTTTGGCTAAAAGCTCCCTTCAATCCCAAATGATTTTCATGAACTTAAAAAAACGTTTCGTCAATGCGACAATCCTCGGAAACAGGGCAAAATATAGGACGAAACTAACCTTGACGAGGGTGCAGTCCGGGAACGCATCATTGTCTATGCAAACTCTGAAAATCCCAAAACACACAAATAAAAGCCAAGATAAATATGGTGTTAATGAAACCAACTGATTCAAAAGTTCAAGTTTGTGGTTGTAAGCGCAGTAATTAGTTAAGATTGAAAAAGAAGAGGAGACGTTGAGAATGAACCTGGGAGGGTGAATTCTCTCTATAAGTAACTTGAATTCTGGATGAACAGATGGACGCCTGTAACATATCTCCATTCCTTGACAGCTTTTAACTTTTCTTTTTATTACTTTAAATTTCCTGCAAAAATTAAAAAAAAAAGGGTCCATTTTCAAGGAATATATTTTCTGCTTCTTCTTTGAATAGAACATAAATGCCAAATCTTTGATACCAAGAAAACCGAAAAATGACTTTCTTGATTTGCTACGAAAAACAGAGATTGACAGAAATATATATGTTTCTACATCCCAAGCAGACCCTCGAATCAAATTCAGCTTTCATAAAACGCAGAATAAACCATGTTTGTAATCATAGAGACGATCTGTAATATATTAGGAGATAAATTTTACAAGAATCTCTTGAATTCTTGATGCAAGAATATATTTCACCTCAGGAGAAATTTTTCCAAACAATAAAAAGAAGAAGAAAAAGAAGAAGGGTTCTTTGATAGGGAGCAAGATGTTAGGATTGGAGGAGAGAAAGTGACTTAATAGAATAATGAAGCAACTATAATATAACTCCAACTTCAATTGAATTGATGACAGAAAATATTTGACGTAAAGGTTACCTGAGCCCCTTGCTGCTAGATGTGTGAGAGAGAGAGAGAAGAAAGATGTGATCTGTGGGAATAATAATGGGATTATATATTATGGGAGACATGAGACACCATATATGTTTATAAAATACTACCTCGAAGTATTTGTCCAGTTTTGATTTTTTCAGACAAGTATTTTCAACATTTGACATATAATTAAGTAAAATATATATTATATATTAATTAGATAAAATAATATTTTAAAAATATTTGATATATTAAATCTAATAAAATTATTTTTGTTTTAATATCTATTATTATTTTTATTTAATTTAAAGTCAAAATTTACTAATTTTGACAGAAAGAATTAAAAAATAGACAAATACTGACTGGGGGAAGATATTGATTTGATAGGATGGGATTTATTATGGACACGGTTGGAGTCGGTTATTATCACTTGGGTTTTGGGCCATCGCTGACTTGACCAAACTAAAAAAACTTTTTTAAAAAAATGTAAATGCCAGAGTCATAAATAAAAGGATCACAATATACACAACATTATTACTTGTGTATCTTATCAAGAGGTTAAAAGATATTTAAATATTTAAAAAATAGGAAATATAAATACACAAATGGCGGATTAGATTGTTTTTTTTGACCTTTGTGTTTGCCAGTCTAATATTTCTATATTCTAATAGGTTAGGGGGGGGGGGGGGGNGGAGTAATTATATTGGAATGCAAAACATGTGGGGGTAATGATAGAATATTGGAAGAGGAGTCTAGTGGAGTGAGGATTGCGCTCAGCCGCTCCCATAATTCCTTATTTTATAAATAAATATAAATTAAAAGTGGATTTAGTTGCAATATAATATATTTGTGTTAGTTAAATGGGTAATGGGTAGCCACTAATTTTGGTAAATCCGTAAAATGCGCATCCACTCTTGGCGGAGGAGGAGTCTTTGAGGAAATGACCGTCCCCGGCGGAGATGGAATGACGGCGGCCGGAAATCACCGTAAAATATGGAATCCGAATGGAATCCTCCCTCGATAAAAATTACTTGGTTTCCCTTAAATCCTAATGCTACTTTCCCTTTTTTGTGGGCAAAATTAATTATACAAAAGAATATGTGATTTATATTTATTACTCCGTATAAAAAAAGTATGTGATTTAAATTTATTATAAAAAAGAATAAATCAAACGAAAATTAAAATATTTGAAGAGTATGTGGTTTCAGTCATTCAATCTAAGTACTCCCAACTTAACTTGATAGTTTACTATTCACATAGTCAAATTTTAATCACATTTTTTACTCATTTCGTTACTCATCTGATAAAACAATATAGTCATGTCACCTCTGTAAAATTTGTTGGCCATGTGTGCATCCCTTGTCTCGTGGCGGAGACTATGTGGGCTAAGTCACAATTATTTTAGAAGAATTGGTAGCGCCTGAGATCCTACAAAACTTTTCATTTAGTTTTTAGATATATAAAATTTATTTTTAATTCTACCGTAATTTTCAAACAAATTCATTCGAAAATAAATTCAATCAAATATCGTAACTAACAACAGACAACTTAAAATGGACCGAAGGAGCACAATAGATCACCCATTTCTTTCCCTAAATGGATTGTGAAAGTGTATCAATGGACACTGGGAAAAAAATGGAAATTTATTTATTCATTTTGAGGGAAAATTTATTTATTAAAAAACGCTTTGGGAGCAGAAAAAGAAGAAAACACAGAAAATAAAACCTCAAAGGTTAATTTTTCCCTCAATCTTCCATCAACAAAACTGTCCTCATGGAAGTAGACTTTTGTGTATACTTGAAATGGGAGATCTCAACTGGTCAATAATATTGCAGTCTTATCATTGGAATCAAGTGGCTCGGAATGCTTACAACTGAACTGGAAATCAATCTCATGGGATGAATCCTCTGAACTTCTAATTGGTTCTTGTATCATTTTCTTTCCTAGTTTGTTCCTCCTGATGTTTCCTCTTCCAGTACTCTTCGAGCGGTGGCCCAAATATAGCTTTTCCAGACACAATTCCGACCCTAAATTCACAGTACCAGGTATTAATAATAGTAGTAGTAGTAGTGACGACATCGATGATGCTGCTGATGATGCTGATTTACAGTTTTAACAATTCGACTACAAAGCCTAAAAAGGTCCTAATTCATACCATGAATGCATACTGAGGCATTAAACTTCTCTCAGTTTTTACTTTCTATGATGTTTTGTGCAGTAAATGCAGCACTACATTTAGGGTCTAACAAAAACAACCTCTCTGTTTTTACAAGAGTAAGATTGCATACATTTTGACCCCAAACCCAACACGGATTCTGGATAAAATTAGGTTGTTGTTTTCGTTGTTGTATAAGTCAGGTTAGTCAGTTAATGGTCAATAAACAGTGTCATATGACTCCTATGGTGTTTGATGTGTAGAAAAAAATTGACAACTCAAGCAGGAAAGACATCCTAGAAAACTCAAAAACAATGATAGAAGGAAGAAAACAAGAGGAAACAGATTGTTAAGCGAAAGACAAAATAGGTAGTGCAAATATTTCCAAAAGAAGCATAACCATGTGAAGTAGCTAATGCAGCAAGTAATTGTGTCCCTAACATGACACCAAACCTGCAACCTCTCTCCACCATATATATTTCATACTCAACAACACAGGCTAGGCAACTCCCTGTTGAGTCTTTTCGGCTACTTTCCTAAAGCTTCTCAATCTTACTGTTCAGTTATGAATGATGGGTTATAATGCAAGGCATACGGCATACCGCTTTAGGCTTTGGACCAACACTACTTTATCAGTTCGGGAAATTGTTTTAGACTACGCATACCAAACAAGGCATTTGTTTAGTCTCGGGCAGAACCAACTCCCATTTTTTCATAAAAATAAAATCAAACAATTATCTCCTAGAAAAAGCACATAGTATTAGATCTCAGCTGGTGCCTATGGGATTCTTTTGACCCCCACCCGTCGTCCTCATTGAATGTTCTTAGCCAGCCGTTGGATGCTTATTGCAGATTGGCATGTATGCAACTCGTCAGCTTGTTGAATTGCTTAAATTTTAAATCTTTAAACATTTTTCAACCAAAGCTTATTGATTCTATATTGCTTCAAAAATTTTCAACTTTTTTTTTTGCTTCCATAGTTTCCCCTCCCACCATCCAATCCAGGCTTCCTCTCATATGGCTACACTTTTCCTAGGCTCGACGATACCCTAGAGCATGCATATGAGGGGAATTTATGGAAGTCAATTACTACATTCTTTCGGTTGCCCGGGATCCAAAATAAGCTAAATTTATGGAATGAATGGGAAAAAAAACACAAAAAAGAGTCATAGAAACCAGATGGATACAATGCTAAAATGACATTTAGATCGTAATTTTAATACTTCACAATAATTTGTTAACTACATACTCCGTATAAATTATGTCTGTGAGACATTTCTTCGAACACTTGGCAGAATTAACGTTTGGGAACGCCATAGCAACCCCCACCATTACTTTTTTCTAATGAGTTTTCTGTATTCCTTTTCATGGAGTAGATTCACGCATGGTAAAAAAAATTGCGAAGTACTGTAAACAATAAACAGTAATCTTAAATTCGTATAGAACTGAAAAAATGAGACTTGGAAAAGACGAGTGGAGTAACCCAAAAAAAGCTTCTGCGAAGAGAATAAAAAAGAAGGAGAAAGAGGAAGCTCACATGACGGCGCCAATGACGAGTGGAAAGGACAGAAATCTTCTCCGGCCGAACATTTCCGTTCTCGGCGTCTCCCCAAACTTACCACTTCTCCGACGTCAATTTAGGATGGCAATATTTGGGTTTGACTTATTATTACGGAGTGTATTCCTTCCGTGGGTAAATAGGGAGTAATTTATTTTCAGAAAATTGTTTGAGAAGTAAAAAAACGTGACATTAAATTTGCCGAGAGTTTTCTACTTCCTCCCTCCCAAATTATTTGTAACGTTTGTTTTTTTAACAGTGGCGGAAACTTTTGTTTATTTCTACGTTTTCATTGGTTATTTGATAAAATAAAATATTCTTGACACCTCTTATTTCGAAAAACTTTTCATGTAGTTTTTTGATATGTAAATTTTATTTTTTATTTCTATACCAATATGTAAATAAAATAAATTTAAAAAACTTGATATTTAGCCTCGGGAATACAAGTGTGGCAAATATTTAAGGACGGATGAAGTATTTTTTGTGCACATAAAAATAGTCTAGTTAGGAAATAATTTAGGGATACTAAATGTACACCACCACTCTCTTTACCATTCATTTTATTTTGTTTTTAATTTTTATTTTATTTTTTGAATTTTTCTTGCTTTTTTTTTGTGGTGATGGAGGGGGTGGGGATGTTTGAGATACACTTTTGGTGTACCCCTAGCATTTTCCAATAATTTATAATGCTAATTTTAAGGTTAAAAAAACGTACTTCCTTCGTTCCGTAAAACCATTTCTATTTTGACTTTGTGCCAAAATAAGGAAAATATAATTTTGGTTGACTTTCTAATTTTGTCTCTGCTGTGATGGGTAAAAGTAAGATGTGATAGTTTGGTTATTATTAAAAAAATATGATGTGATATGTATGATATGAAAAAGTAGGGTAAAAGTGGTTTTTAAATAGAAAGTAGAAGTGTTTTAGGGAATTAGAAAAAATACAAAACGGGAAGAATTTTTTGGAACAGTGAGAGTATATAATTTGTTCTAAGACGTAGAAAAAAATGAATAATTTACTTATAGATGGATATATGTGATATTCTAGAGACTACTTTTTTAGCCTATTCTTTTTTTTTTTGAACGTAAATACATTTCTTTCATTAACAACCTCACTGTTCAAAAGATTACATCATTTATAAGCTTAGCAGCATACTATTTGCATCTATACAGAGAGTAATTTTTGAAATAAAAACTTGCATTCTTCATAGCCGCCTCCAAAGTGTAAGTTTTCTGGTGGATCTTCGCATTTCTGATCTTCCAAGTTTGATAGCAGTAGTTAGCCCAAATAGCAGCCAGCAGGTTCCTCCTCCTTTTGTTCTTTATATTCTTCATGTGTGTGTAAACAT